AGGAGTGAGTAGGTGTCAGGCGCAATAACAAGACCCACAGCACTGAAAAAGAAGCAACAGTATGTATGAGTACAGTAAGGAAGAGGGATTGGAGTGGCATTTGAACATTTTCTTAAAGTGGTTGTTTGCCAATTTATAGTAATGCTTGAAAGACTCCCAGGAACGTTATTACACTGCACACAAAAACCATTCAAATGCTTTAGAAATCTAAACTAGTAATCTTTATTATTAAAGAACAGTGTCCTTTTGTTATATTGATATAGGGCTGAAGCCATGATTCTCAAGTATTCATTTATAATCACCCTAGATGTGTGGTTTTTTAGGTGCTTTACATGTAGGTAAATAAGTGTTAGTCAATTCCATAACCTTTAAGTAAAATGGCAGTTGCTTCACTTGGTTAATGAAGTACTTTGTGTTACATACATTTCATTTCTTTTTTAAAAAAATCAGTTTCTCCACCCAAATTCTTGAGTTATTTAAAAGTATTCAGCACTTTTATTCAAGCATTTGTTTTTAAAAAAAATATTTTTATTTGAGAAAAAATTACAGTTATATAGACATATACTATACATATACTATACATTTGTAAAAACTATATTTTTTCAATCCTGAGTGAGGGGCAGAACTAATAAGGGTTCTTCTTATAAGGGTTTCTAATAACTTTCCCTTAAGTATATTAATAAACCCCTTAAGTATATTAATACATTTCTCTTAGTTCTTGCCAGGTTAGAAATGAATCTACTAAGCCTGTGGAAGTATCTAAAGCCTTTTTCTTAATCCTGATGAAGTCATCAAACAGTCTTATCCCTTTTCTCTGTTTTTCTGTCATTTGAATTGAGCATACTTTGGAATGCTATATAAAGGCCGCTGGGTGTATGTGTTTTGCTCACCTGTGTTGTGGAACACGCAGATCCATAAGAGTGAGAGAGATTCAGAGCATCCCCCCCTCACCATTTTCCCAAGGACAAATTTTAGTTGATAACTTTGAGGAACATGGATGAAAAAAAATGGATGAGACTACAAGACGGAAGAGATTTCACATCTAAGGTATATCAGATATCCCCCTATTATCTAAGTAGATGTGTTCGTGGGCATTACCTCTTTAACAGAATATTTGATAGAAAAGGCAGAAATATCACAGAAAGAATATGTGTTACTGTTTACACTACAAAAAATAAGAGCAGCTGATATGTTTCAGCAAACTTTTTTATATAAAAGAAAGAGACTTGTGAAATGAAACAACCAGATCAGATAAATACTGAAAATGCAAACAAAACCATTTTGAACCTTCTAAATACAGTTGGACCTCCACATTTGAGATTCTGACTTTTGCAAATTTGATTAATTTGATCTACGAATTTCTAGGTACTCCAGTGCACTTGTACAGTCCACCAGATGTGAACTATAAATATGTGCTGAAGGACCTGGATATTCCAAGAGCTTGACCATTGAGTTTCACTAGAAAACATAAAGATTCTTAGAAATGTGTTCTCCTATGTAAAAAAATAATATTTTAATTAATTATTTAAAAACCTTTGGTGGATTACTGTGCCTCTAACCTCAGCGAATGTGGAGTGCTGCCTGTGCTGTTTGAAAGGTTCTTGAAAATGTATCTAGTAACAGTTTTCTCAGTGTTTCTTAAGATTTCTATTTTGATGGCCAAAATTATAGATATTTTTTAACATGATGATAGCTGGTGAGGCAGGCTTATCTACTCTTTTCTTTTATCTGTTTTATTTTTCATGAGTGCTTAGTAGGGGATTCTGAAAATAGATGCTGCTTACCTTGCCTGTTGTAGGCATGCTTACACATCCACAGTAAAATCAGATAGAGCAGAATCCCATTCTTTCCCAGTGCAAAGTTTGCTGCAAATCTGCTGCTGCAATAGGCAGCAATAGTGCTCTTCCATCCCCCTTCACCATTTTCCCAATGGCGGTGCTGCTAAACAAAGCTTGAGAAGTTAAATGGACCAGGTCTCAGTGAGTATAAAAATACTCTTTAAAAAAAGGTACTTCTTTGTTAACTGGGGTATGCCTAGACCATATGTTTGCTACCTGTAGATAATGTGCCGCATAGAAATACACTGCTGAAGGAGTCAATATTTTTAGTGTCAAATTTCTATTTAAACATGTAATTAGTCTAGAACTTTGATTGTTATTGCATGTGACCATTTTTGCCCAAATAAATGTAAGTTTTTTTTAAAAAATACAACATTTATGGTTTGCATCCTTATTTTTCAGAACTAACAAAACTTTCAAAATTTAATTATTATTTCATTATTGGTGATTTTTATGACAGAACCAATTAAGAACTGCCATTTATAACAAAATTTTGAAAGTTTTGTTAGAGTTCTGAAATTTTCACCACCAGAACTTTAGTAACACTTAGAAGCAAAGCACCTAGTTTTGTAAGTATTTGAGTACCATTTAGAACCATGGATTGCCCATGCCCGGTGGTGCAGTGGGTTAAAGCACTGAGCTGCTGAACTTGTTGATCGAAAGGTCGCAGGTTCGATTCCGGGGAGCGGCGTGAGCTTCCGCTGTCAGCCCTAGCTTCTGCCAACCTAGCAGTTCGAAAACATGCAAATGTGAGTAGATCAATAGGTACCGCTCCGGCGGGAAGGTAACGGCGCTCCATGCAGTCATGCTGGCCACATGACCTTGGAGGTGTCTACGGACAACGCTGGCTCTTTGGCTTAGAAATGGAGATGAGCACCACACCCCAGAGTCAGACATGACTGGACTTAATGTCAGGGGTCTACCTTTACCTTTACCTTTACAAATTTGCACTGATACCAGGTACTGTAGGGCCCCCTGGTGTTGCGGCAGGTTAAATCGCTGAGTTGCTGAACTTGCTGACCAAAAGGTTGGCAGTTCGAATCTGTGGAGTGGGGTGAGCTCCCACTGTTAGATCCAGCTTCTGCCAACCTAGCAGTTTAAAAACATGCAAACGTGAGTAGATCAGTAGATACCGCTTCTGCTGGAAGGTAACGGTGCTCCATGCGGTCATGCTGGCCACATGACCTTGATGGCGTCTATGGACAATGCCGGCTCTTTGGCTTAGAAATGGAGATGAGCACCACCCCCCAGAATCGACTTAATGTCAGTGGAAACATTTACCTTTAACCTACCAGGTACTGTATTTCAGAGGAAGTAACTGGCAGAATCACCTCTGAATTATCCATTTCCTAAAAAACCCTATGAAATGCATGGATTTGCCATTAGTGAACAGGTGGTATGGAGGCACATAATTTTATATTTTATATTTTGTAAACATTTCAGGTAGCACAGTTGTACATGTCAACTAAACAAGCAAAAATATGGGTATTTGATATGCAGATAAAGTATGGCATCTATATTCTTGCATTCCTGCCCAGAACTCTGCAGCCTCCCCCCCCCCCCCCCCCCCCCCCCCCCCCCCCCCCCCGGTCTCTTACATGTTCTTCCTTAGACTGGTCTTATAAATAAGCCTCCAGATGTAACTACCATATAAGGAAAATTGCAATTAGCCTACTGATGGTTTCCAGAGGAGGAACGTAGTGTTGCATTCTTCTGCTGGGTTGGGAAGAAGAAGGGGCTTTCATCCTTCTGCAGCCTGCTAAGTTTATTTCATGACCAGAAGAGACATTTTGAATACTCCATCCTTCCTCAACCTGCTCTTTTACCTGCATGCAGTTTCTTTTTCCTTCTTGAGCCACCAATTAGCATTATATATATAGTTGTTTTAAATCTCTACATTAACGTTTTTGCCCATTACTCATCTGACCTTGACCAATCTCATCTTTCCATTCTTATGTAATCCTACTTTCCCAGTTAGCAGTCTCTTGAGGTGAAGGGGCATATGGGACCCGACTTCATGTAATAGTAGAATAAATTGAAGGAAATAAGTGTTTCCCTCAAAAATAACATGTGGTGCTTTAAATCCACATGCTCTTGGAAAGAAAGTAGAGGTGAAAGTTAAAATAATTAAAAACATCCCCATACTTAAAGGGGGATAGATGAGAAAACAAAAAGAAGATTTGGATAGAAAATATAAAGGATCTAGACAGCAAAATATGAAAGAATAGACGCAAGTAATAGATACAGAGATGAGTTTAAAGAGCTACTTTATGAAGTTACTTTTAAAACCTTTAAACATGAGAATTCATGATGCTATAATTGTTGATGTTTAGGACTTTGTGCAGCTGTATGCACTATTCAATAAGCATTTGTACAAGCTAGCACCCTCCCCTACTTTGACGTTTAATCTGTTTTATTCCTTTTATTGGCCATTCATTTTAATTAATCTTGTTGGATGCTTTTCCCTTAATAGTGATGGTCATAGAGCGTAATAAAGATAGAAGTTATTTGACTATGCAGTGAAATTGTGTGTTTATGGCAGCCCTAAAGCAACTTTGTTGTAAGGGGCTTTGTTCAGAGAGCATTTGCCATTGCTTTTCTCTGAGACTGAGGGAGTGTGGTATGCTTGAGGTCATCTGGTGGGTTTCTGAGGCTGAGTAGCGATTTAAAACCTGGTCTCCGGAAGTTCTAATCCAAGATTTAAATCTCTATGCCATGGATGCATCTACACCATGGAATTAATGCACTTTGACATGGCTTTAACTACCATGGCTCAATATTATAGAATCATGGGTGTTTAATCAAAGTAGAACTCCCCATGATTCCATAGCATTGAGCCATGGCAATTAAGATGCATATAAGAGCATCGTTCATGCCTGTTTCTTTCGATGTGCAATTTCCCAGCTGAGATCATAGCTGGGGTGTTTATAGGATGTCCGAAAAGAAGAGACCTGTATTCCAACAGACAGGTGGAATATATAGGCTGCCATATCTATCTATATAGGCTGCCATATCTATCCATTTATCCATCTGTCCATCCATCCATCAACTCATGTGCTATTTTGAGTTGCATGTTCATGGATTGTTTACCATTTTAATCCAAAATTTGGCTTTACATTTTCTTTGCATATGATTTACAGCCTTTGTATGTCTCTTTTACAGTTCTATCTTCAAGATACTAAGAGTAGTAATGGTACCTTTATAAATAGTCAGAGACTGAGCAGAGGATCTGAAGAGAGTCCACCATGTGAAATTCTGTCTGGTGATATAATCCAATTTGGCGTAGATGTGACGGAGAACACGCGGAAAGGTAAGGGTATGGATCACTTTTCCCTTCTATTTTTAATTTACATTTAAATTTTAAGCTTCATAGTAAGCTGAAGGGGGGAAAAAAGCAAAACTTCACCTGACTTTTAAAAACCTATCTTCTGTTTGGTTTGTCCTACCTTCTGTTTGTCCAGTCAGTCATGCATATATAAGAATACCTGAGTAGTTCTAAACTCTAGGTATCAGCTCCTTCAAAACTGATGACTGGCTAGAATGTAATGCACAGACTTACAATTATTGCTACTAAACTTCCACTTACAATCATACAAGTGCCGATTAGAAAACTAATAACGCACACAGATGCCAAGCAATATTGAACATAGTATGTAAGTTGCACTGCCTTTATTGCTTGGTATTGTTTTGATTATTACTTAGCACTGATATATTAACAGGGACATAAAAATAATATAAATACAATACAAACAAACAAACAAATAAATATAGAAAACCATTGTTTACATCTGGTAGTTTTGTTACTGTTTCTCTTTTTCTATATGCTTGTCTATCTGTTGGTCATTCTGATGTGGCTTTTTTCATTACATAATCACCCTAGATGTGTGACCAAATATTACAGAACATTATAAAATATGCAGTGTTGGCAATTAGATTACTTTTTATGGTAATTGAAAATGCTTTTAGGGGCATACATTCGGAATACATATAGGAAGACATGATTTCAGATTAATACTTAATGTTTGCACTAGGATTTTCCATCAGTATTAAAATTGCAGACTATAAAGGTCAAATTTGGTGCTACATCAACTGACATGGGATCCCAATTTCTTGTTGCTGGTATAATAGGAGTTGCAAGTACAACATATTTACAGGGAGGACTAACAAGTATAAGGGAAAGATATGGATAATTGCACTATTATTCTCACAAATGCTTCCTTGCAAATCTTCTGTGAGCTCTGAATTGTTGGGTTGCTGGATTGGGAATGTCACATTTCTATGATAATCCTATTTCATTTCTCACTGGTGCTATATTTATAAGTATATTCCAAGGAGATACTGTGCATCTGTACTTTTTTTTGCATGGGCACAAGACATTTGTTAGTTTTTCTTCTTTTGCAACAAGTAACATTTTGGTTTACTACTCAAGGGCTCTTTTGTTGGTGGAGTGGGGGATGCCAATAGCAACATGGAAAATACAATTGTACACATACTCATAGGTATTTGTTTATTTAAGTGTAAACCATAATAGCAAGCTAAGCATGAATAACATTCTTGCAATAAGCTTTTCATTGTTAAGATGTACAGTCAGCCTTCTACATTCACTAAGGTTAGGGATGCAGGATTCCCAGGAAAGTGGAAAAAATGCAAATTAGGTACAACTGTACCAGGAGCTCCAATTTTGTTTGCTTTGCATTGAATGTTTGTTGTAGTCCTAAGTTTCAGGGACTCTGCAGATAGGTGGCTTCTTTTGGCTGCAATCATAGGGCAAGCCACCTGTCAATTATAGTTAGGTTCCCTGGTCCCGCCCCCTATTTGAGTTTTGGAGGGAATAGGACCCTTTTTGGGTTCAGTCCACACAGAGAAGCTTTCCATGCAGGACATAATGCCAAGAGCTCCTGTAGAAAGCTTTGTCTTCTACAGCTTGGCTGGGGTTATACAGCCCACAGCTTGGCCGGGGTTATACAGCACACAGCTTGGCTGGGGTTATACAGCCCACAGATTGGCCGGGGTTATACAGCCCACAGCTTGGCCGAGGATCATACAGCCTTACAGCTCCTTTGCTGAGGGACTTCAGCCAGCCATCACCGAAACCTGAACTCCTTTTTCCCCTGGAGGTCTACAAAGCTCTGCTTGGTAAGGGTCACTCGCGGAAGCCAGAAGCAGTTGGTACCGGGTGTAGGGGCTCCATGCCAACAGAGGCAAAGACAGACTGCCCAGATTAGAAGTTAAGGATTTCCCCATTAGTTGAAATACAGTTGTGAAGATAGTGCCTGTTCCCAGTGGACAAGATTGAGAGAGCCAATAGACTATTAAGGAAGCCTTAAAGTACCTGTTTGTTTTCAATAATAAAGAACTTTGTTGAACCTTTAAGCAATCTAAAGACTCTGTTGTAAGGAAATCCAAAGGCCTTTAATCTGAGGCAGCCCCGGCGTCTCCGTTGGGCACACAGAATTTATGTCCTGTCTAAAGTCTTATGCACAGGCCCACCATGCAACAGCATAGTCAGCCTTCCACATTCACTAAGGTTAGGGATGCAAGATTCCCAGGAAAGTGGGAAAAATGCAAATTATGCGACCACCTCCCAAGGAATTTCTTGGCCTACACTCAAACTGGAGGATCAGTGGATTCCTAAAGAATCCACAAATAATCATATCCACAAAAGTCAAACTCATAAATGTGAAGGGCCAACTGTATAGTATAATTTTGACAACATTTATTTTGGTCAAAGTAATTGAGTAACATGTCTGAAATAGATTTTTGTAGAATTTCTTACTTTGATTGATTTATTTTTCCCCAATCTGGTTGATCTTAATTTTTATTTGCCTGTCATCATTGCATTTTGAAAATGATTTGCTGTATGACCCCAAATGAAAACATTTATCTAATATTTGTTTTCTTGCCTAGTCATAAACAGTTTTCTGAAAGAAGTTTCATGCATACTGTCTGAACAGTTCAGAATGGGAACTACAACAAAAGGTGGGAGGTGGTACAGCACTTAAGTGTTTGTGAACCAGTGGCTTCTATGTCATCAAGTTAGTTGGAAAAATGTAAAGAAAAATATTTCTCCCTTGCTTTCACCTGTGCATCTATGTTATTGTTATTTTTATTATGTTTATTTTTATTGTGTTACTTTTATCTTTATAGAAAAACATTATTATAGCTATGCTAAACAGTTTAAATAACTTTCATTTTAATTAATATATTCTCACTAATCTATTACATTGAACTTACATTATTACTGATTTTTTTTCCAGTCACCCATGGATGTATTGTGTCCACAATTAAACTATTTCTCCCAGATGGTATGGAAGCTAGGCTACGGTCAGAGTAAGTGTAGTGTTAAAACTTATTTTAATGTCCAACAAGTTTTAAATGTTATATATTTTCTGTGTATCATATCAGAACTTGAATAAGGCAGTAGCATGGCTGTCTCCAAGTGTATAGTCCATTTGGATATACATATAGCATTACAAATGCTAATTTGTAGTACATAATGCTATATACTGTTGAGGCTATCGGATGACATTATTTTATAGCAAAAGTGATTATTCTTTTCCTGAAATATTTATTTAATTAAATATTAGAATACTTTAAATATTATCAGTTGCAATTATTGTAATCACTTAAGAAGGAGATTGTTTCAGAAATTGAAACTTGCTGCAGTTGAAGCAGTTAATAAATGGCAGAAGATCTCTATTTAAACAATGATGTTTTTGTTCTGCAGTGTAATCCATGCTCCATTACCAAGCCCTGTTGATAAGGTAAGTCTTAGAACATTTATTTCCTTCTGTCAAATGGAAGTCAAAACAGAAATAAGGCAGGTAGTTCAAATATCATACTAATAGGACCTCACAACCTTTGAGGATGTCTGCCATAGATGCAGGCGAAACGTCAGGAGAGGATGCTTCTAGAACATGGCCATATAGCCCGAAAAACCTACAACAACCCATTATACTAGTTGATTCATGGGTATATTTCCTTATAATCCACGTGCTTCTGCCATCCCTTTTGAAATTGTAGAAGTCCTGATGCGCGTACTCTAGTATGAAAGAAAGGATACAGCAAACCAAATAAATAAAATGTTTACACAAGAAATGTGGTCAGTGTTGTTGCATCTATGATTTGATATTAGATACTTGACAGTATCTCTTTTCATATACCAGCTTGCCTTAAGATCTGCAACTGAGCTCCTACTTCGAGTGCAACAATCCCCATGATAAAAGGGCTTTTCTTGTGGCAGCTTTAGAAACCCCTTTTAATGAGATATAATAGGTTTTTGAATTATGATCCTTTGAGTTCCGTATTAAGAACCATTTGCCATGTTCTATCTTTGGGCATTGAATGTCTTGGCTAGTTTGAGCAAGTTAAATGGTTTGATGAGATGGATTTCGAGTTGGATCTGATGGACTTGGGGTAAAACATTTGTGTAAGGGATTGATGTTTCCAACAATAAATATGATTTTAATATGCCTGTTTTTGAAAAGGCTCTTGGTTTTGTGATTTATGATAACTGTAACTCTGTTGTAAATACTTTTTTTGGTAAGTTGCTCAATAGTAGTAACTCAGTTCTAGATTCATGTTAAAAAAACAGTACTTAGAATCTTTCTAGTCTGAGATACAATCAATTTTGGTCACTCCAATGGATGACCTTCATCAGGAAGGAGACAAGATAAAATACAACACTGTTAATTCTCCTTGATCTTTCAGTGGCTTTTAATACCATCAGTTGCAGTACCCTACTGGACCAGTTTTAAAGGCAGTATTTGTTTGTATCTGTTGAAATTATGTTGCACAAATTCCTTCTGTAAGGTTTTTGATAATCTTCCAGGCATGGTCAATGCATAAAGTATTGCATTAATCCATCTAGGAGTTTACTTCAGCATGGATTGCTATGATTAGACTTGTTTGCATCCCTGGTGAATTTTGTAAAACTGATGGAATATAGCTTTGTGCCTTTGAAGCCATTTGGATTTCTGATCACAAAGTTATGTATAGGAGCATTCTCTGTTCTTTCAGTGAGAAGGCAAGCCCTCCCAAATGATCTGAATGCCTTTTCTCCAGAACTTAGACCCATTTCTCAAACAGAGACTCTATTGTCAAGATTCAGCTTTGATTTGTAGGACTTAGCATGTTGTTGAATCTGGTCATGACTACTGTTAATTTTGATGTCAAAGAGAAATAGTGGGGCATCATTAGAGAACTGGCAGAACTTCATTCCAGATCCTCAGATGACACTGCTTTGCATCTTCATATAAATATTAATGAAAAGAGGTAGAGTAGAATCCTGTGGGATATTATAACATATATGCCACCAAGTGGAAATCCTATAGCAGAAATTGTCTTGTGGGTAGAAGCAAAATAATTTTATCCTCCAGATAAAGCCAGGTTTGCAACATACAGTGTTCAGTGCCACTGAGAAGTCAAAGAGAACCAACCTTGTGAAGTCCCTGGATTGCTCTTTTGTATGTAGAAGTTGTACACTAGGAGAGCAAAGGCAAATTCAGAACCAAACACAAATTTAAACCCAAAATGAAATGGATGCAGATGACTAATTGCCATCAATTTATCAAACATTCTACCATCAAGATCAGGTTGTTTTTTTTTTTGCTGAGACAATGCCATCTTCTAAGTTCATAGAGGCTTTCTTAAAGAGTGTTCATCACAACATATCACTCCATAGGATGGTATCTCATCCTTCCACTTCATGGACTACCAGTAGTGATCACACGGTCATATTCTTCAGGTCATATTGCATCATTTTTCCTCATTAATAAGACATTAATCACTTCTAGAACTTCCCAAATCATTCCTACGGGCTAAATATACCATTAGGCAAGATGGGCAGAGATAGTCAGCACAAAATTGTCAGCCAAATCCTTCAGGCACTTTGTCTGATCTTCAGACCATGTCAACTGAAACAGATATCAAACAAGACCAAATGGTGTTTTGGACTCCTCTGTAGTATTCCTTTGTGGTGTCATTAAAGGTCAAATTAGCTGTAAGCATTTTATGGGGAATTTGTAACAGTAGTCCTCAAGGTTTCTTGGCACAGTTGAGCAACCCTGCTTCTGGAGGTTGATCAACTGTGCCAAGATGACATAATTCATATTTAAAATAAATATACCTCACATATAAAGAAAACAGATTGGATATATTGGATGGCAGATGACCTATTGTTTTCCTCTCCCTTTATTGACAAATTACTCTAAAATACATTTTGATTGTTTCAGATTGCTCAATTGAACTAAGGTAGTGTTCCATAAATTGCTATTTCTCTCACACACAAATGTATTCAAGCAAATCACTGATACAACATTTTTAAAATAAAGTTAAAAGTTACTAAATTAAGCATGAACTACCTCTGGCATGGGTAATAAAAATTGTGGCCAGGATTCAATTGTGTTGAGAGAAGCAGCTCTGCCTGCTGATCTAGAAGGAATTGTGACTCTACAGATAACCTATAAATGAAGACTAATTAATTTAAAAGTTGGCTTTTAACCTGCAGGTATTTTCAGGTTAAACCTGCAGTATATTTTTGCAATTGGCTGTGTAAGTGTGTTTCTTGCACATTAAATATTCCAACACAATGACTAATACTGTATAAAAGTACTCTATGAAAGTACATTTTTTTTACTAGGTTGATTTCTTCCATATATGGAAGAAGACTGAAATGTAGAAAGACCATAATATTATATATGTATTTGAGTCAGTAACTGTTTTCCAGTGGCCTCCTTTAATATTATTAAAATTAAACATGTCTGAGCAGATGTGTTTTAAAAAGGCATAAAAAAAACAAAAGACCATTGTCATTTTAAATAGTTTACAAGTTTGGGATAGTCAGCGAAATACATGATGGCTCATTTTGATCATAGTCCAAAATAAGGGTACACAAATCTGTATACATATTTTTCCCTTAAAAGTATATTTATGTTGATATATTTATCAAGTCTTTGTAAAAAAACAAAAACAAAACACCATAGAGTTCTAGTCTCATTTGTACATGTATTAATTATACTACAAAACAGTGAGAACAAGTAGTAATAACATACCTTTAGTTTGATAGGTTCTGAGGAATTCTTTAGATGGATTAAGAGAAATGGTATCTACAACATAAATACCAAGAAAAATCTTGCTAATGCTGTTCATTTTATGAGTTTAAAGTAATACGACCACTAAAGAAACCTTTGAAAATCTGATACAAAATGGATAAACATAGTTGCTTTCCATTTCCTCAGGTTGCTGCTAACACTCCCAGTATGTACTCTCAGGAACTGTTTCAGCTTTCTCAGTATCTACAGGTAATCTGTGCTTCATTATGTGTAAATTTGACTTGTTTGTCTTTTTATAACAAATCAAAAGTTTTGATTTGGATGATGTAAAAAAAAAAAAAAGGTCGAAGGTGGGTAAACTCATTGTATATTGAGAAGCTTTCCTCAACATGTGCAGTTGAACATGTTGAGAAATTTGAGAAAGCCACCCTCCCTCTGCCCAGCCAAGCAAACCTTGAAAGGAGAAACAGGTAATAGTGAAGCATCTGTGGCACTTTCCTCCCAGATTCTAGTTGTGATTAGCAAACCTCAGAACAGTGGTTCTCAACCATCCTAATGCTGTGACCCCTTAATACAGTTCCTTATGTTGTGGTGACCCAGCTATTTCATAACTGTCATTTTGCTATTGTTTTGAATCGAAATGTAAATACGATTCTTGACATGAATACTCAGATGGCCAAATGTGAACACTGGTGGAGGTTGGGGGAAATAGACCTTGACATTTGGGAGTTGTAGCTGCTGGGATTTATAGTTTACCTATGATCAAAGAGCATTCTGAAGCCCACCAACAATAGAATGGGCCAAACTTCCCACACAGAACCCCCATGATCAACCGAAAATACTGTTTTCTGATAGTCTTTGGCGACCCCCTCTGACACCCCCTCATGACCCCCCAGGGGTCCCGACCCCCAGGTTGAGAAACACTGCCTTAGAACATTCTGTTTGAAAATTAATTTAATATTTTGAGTATTCGAAATTGGGACAAAAGTTCATTTTTTTCAGTGCAACAAACTGAAGTAGTTTAGTTATGCTGTAATGAATGTACCCATTTAAAATGCTGCCTTTGAGTACAACCCATGGGATTTATAGAATATTGCATTGTTGGAGTTTTTACCATTGGCTTCAGGGGACTCAGTCTGTCCTTGCCATCGTCAAAAGAGTTCCATTTCTCATTTTAATGTTGTATTCCTTCAAATTAGATTCTTTTTCTCTATTAGTTAACTGCAAAGTTCACTATGGAACTTGGACTATGGAACACACATAAAAACTGTCAGATTGGGAAAGGCTGGCCTAAGGAATGGGGTTTCAGTTTAAAACCTGTTCAGATTTTGTCTTCTACTCCTCCCACCCTCACCAGCATGTAGAATATTTACTTGTTACTCCAATAACTTGTTGATTAATAGTTAATGAAGGGTGATGGTCAAGCTGAGAAATATGCAGTACTTAATGTGTTACTAACTGTGGCTTCCAGTATTCTACACTGTTGTCTATGTTGGCTGGAGTTGTTGGTAGTTGTAATCCAAGCATATTTGCAGGGCCCGTGTTAAACTAAGTAAGGAATGATGTGTTAATTTTAGGTAGAGGACTAGGATTCACTGCAAGTGTAGAAATGTGTGGCTGCTGCAAAGATCAACAATGAATTAAGAATGGACAATTCTTCATCAGAAATGTTGGATGTGTCTTTGGGCACATCTGAATCGCTGCATCTTTTCTGTCTCCCCAACATCTTATCAAAAAATGTGATCTGCAAATATCAGTGGTAGAACATATGTTTTGATCATTTGTGAATTAGCTATATTATACCTTCTGATTCCAAGTTGGAAAACTTTTAAAGTGTGTAATGCACTGAAGAAAGAGATGGATGAAAAGCAAAACGGGGAGAGAATAATCCAGCAGGGTTTGGTGAGACTGGGGCTCTTAGTTGGAGCCAAAAGATAAATCTGCTAAAACATTTACTCTTTCCAAGGGGATTCAGTTTGATTTACTTTTCAGTAGAGTAGAGATGGGGAAGGCATGGAATTTAGTAAAGGAATGGAAACTTTCATTGTGTGATATCTTGAACAAATGGGTTAGTGGAAAACAGAACACAGAGAAGAGATAAGAAAAAACTAAGAAAGCCCCTCGGCTTTGGAACGCCTTTTCCAAAGACATTAGATTGGCCCCTTCTTTGGTAGCATTTCGTAGGAAGGTTAAGACCTGGTTGTTCGAGCAGGCATTCGAAAAGGCAGTGTAACAAATATCAGAACATGGAACGACTGCATGACAAGATTGGATCTTGATTTTAACTAAGAGACACTATGAGCTTTGTTGTACTGACTTTGTATGATTGTATATTGATGCCACGGTTTTTAATTGCTTTAATTGCTTTATGATGTTTAAGCATTGGATTTTTGCTATTGTAAACTGCTTTGAGTCTCCTGAGGGCTGAGAAAAGTGGTGTATAAATGGAGTAAATAAATAAATAGATAAATAGATAAATAAACGGATTTTGTGGCCTGTTAACAAAACTGCATGATGCTTTCTGTGATTCCAATTCTATTTTTTTAGACCTGATTTTATTTAGTCTGCCAGTGAAAGAGTCAGGCATTCTAATGAATGAATTAACTCACTAAGACAATAGGATTAAGAGTTTTAGTCTATACCACTATAGCTACTACCAGTGTGATATAATGGTTTGAGTTGGACTAGAGGTGTATCTACTCTGCAAAATGGTGCAGCTTGACATTACTTTAACTGCCATGGTTCAAGGCTAAGGAACCATGGGAGTTGTAGTCTTGCGAAAGAGTGCTGGCACTTCTTCAAACTATAACTCACAGGATTCCATAGCATTGAGTTGTGATAGTTAAAGTGGTATCGAAACTCATTAGTTCTACACTCTTAAGACTTTGGGAGACCAGGGTTTGATTCCCCACTCAGCCATTGAAACCTACTGGTTGACCACTGGCAAGTCTTCCTCAGCTGTAGAGGAACACAAAGACAAACTCCTGCTGAACAAATGTTGCCAAGAAAATCCTGTAATAGGCTCTCTATAGAACCTAGTCAAATGTGATTTGAAGGCACAAAATACACAATAACAAATCCTGTGAGATCTTGCCTATGGAACTTTCTGACATATTTTTTCAGAGGAACAAATGCATTTCAGATCCCCTGTGGACATGTGGTGTCTTACTTTCATTAACTGATCTATCTCTTCCTGCACTTTGAACAAGAGCGGAAAATTCAGCATTATTATTCCTAACCTGGAGGCTGTATATTTTGTAAGCCTCTGACTTTAGTATTACTTTGTGCAAAAATGTTAGCAAGTGGCATTTCTTGGAAGTTGTATTTTAAACTTGTGTAAGGATAAGATAAAACAGTTGCTTACTACCATGCCCATTTAAAGGTGAAAGAAATAATATGCCATCTAGTGGTTACTGCTGAGAAAACTTTGCATGTTTTGTTGGGAAATTGATATGGGTTTTCCCCAATTTCCCAGAAAGCTTATTTTAATTCTGAGTTCACTTGTTTCCTACTTATTAGAGTTAAGTTATTTCAGCTGTTACCTTAAAAAACTGTTGTTATTTTTCTTCTTGGCATATCTTGGTGCTTCTCCAGATACTCAGACTTGACCCAGAGGAGTCGTATACTTACTACAGCTAAAGCTTTCTTTGTAGTAATTCCTATTGCTAACAGTCCTTTCTGACATATGCTAACAGACACCCTATTGTGGACTGAGAAATTGCTCAAATTGGGCACAGATTGGACTGCACATGATGCTATCTGCTTGGTGTTCCTAGCTTCACACTAGTATGATAAATGTAAGAATCTAGCCAAAAATACCAAAGGTTGAGACATAAATGGAAATGTTTGTCTATTTATTTGTTACGTCCCCTAAACTGCCAGGGATGTTGACATGTACAGGAAAAAATTAAAATAATTTAAGACTCCTACAGGTACAGTTTTGAATTAATTGATTTTGTTTGTTTGTTGAAGGAGGCCTTACACAGGGAACAAATGTTGGAACAGAAGCTGGCCACCTTACAGCGATTGCTTGCTGTCACTCAAGAGGCATCCGATACTAGTTGGCAGGTATTATGTGAGCTCTTACTTTTGAACTTTTTAAAAAGTCTAACATTTAATTTCAAAAAGTTTTAAGAACTACAGACAATCCCTGTGTTACAAACATCCAACTTACAAATGACTCATAGTTAAGAATGGAAGTGAGAAAACAGGAAGTGAGAGGGAATCTACCCCTAGGAAGGGAAATTCACTCCTGGAAGAGTTATTATCATGCAGGAAAGGTGTCTCCGCTTAAGCTTGATAACCAACCCTTGTTTCCATGACAAGCAAAATGTTTCAAAACCCAATTCTCACAGGGACAGAAAGTGAGGCGAAATCTTCTGAACAGGGGCACAGACAACAAAACAAACATCATAGGGGTGTTAAACCTTCTCTATGCGATCCAAAACACACACACACACACGTTCTCCCTCTCTCAAATTTGTTACACAATAATATCTTGCATATGTCACATGACAACTATTTCCTTATGAAATGTTTATTGTATGTCTTTGCTTTGCTAGTTGTTGCTAATTTTAAAATGACTTTTGATTTTTTAAAACAGGCATTGATAGATGAAGATAGACTACTCTCAAGGTTAGAGGTTATGGGAAACCAGTTACAAGCATGTTCAAAAGTAAGTGTCTTGCTTTATTGTGATATATGGTATTGCTTCCCTGTAAAATCTAATATAAATTGAACCTTCCTTATCCAGAAATTCAAATTCTGAAAGACACCCAAATCAAAACTTTTTGCCACAAGCCAACTCTTTCTGCCTTCACTGTCAAGGTAGAAGTGGGCAATTGATGAGCTGGAGAGAGACACAAGGTTGAAAAAAAATGCACAGATCTATGAAATGATGAGAGACATGGGTTCTCACAGTTTCACAGATCATCAGTCTCTTGCTAGCTTCCTATCTCATACCCAATACAAGTAGCAAACAAACAAGTTGCAAGGCTGAAGAGAGACCAAGGATGTGTGAAAAGATAGGAGGCACGGATAAAAAAATATTGCCTCCAGGCTATGCTTATGAGGTGAAAATAAAACAAATGGATTTTGTGTTTAGACTTGGGTCCCATCTTCAAGATACTTTATTATGCACGTATGTACTTGCCAATGCAGGTATTTCAAAATAAAATTTTAAAAATCTAAAATCTAAAACACCTCAGGTCCAAAGCATTTATGATAAAAGCTATTTAATTTGTGGTGTGAACGTATTATTTGTACAGTTGATTAGTTACCTATCACATAAAAGGAAAGCTTGCTAGATCTGTTCACACCATTATTATTATTCTTTATTTATATAATAGCACCATTGATGTATGTGGTGTTTTACAGGCTAATTAAGACATTACACAAAAGGGGATGGTAGTGTGGGATTAAGTCCAGTAGATGCTGCCTCTTCCCTTCCTTCAAGGCCACAGTAGTTGTAGTTGGGATGGAGGGAGGGCTTTCATTTGTGTCTGGGCCTAGGCATGCTGGAGCGTACTTGCCTCTCTTTCAATTCTTTCAAGGCCGGGACAGTAGGATGGCTTTTCATCTGCTTTGGGGTGTAGACATTGATGGAGTTGAGCCTGCTTTATCTTTCCTTCAGATGTTAGGGCTGTGGCAGTTTGAGTTGAATGGAAGGCCTTTTTTCTGCTTCTGGGTCCACCCGTGATTCCAGCATCCTTCTGCTCATAGTGGCAAATCCAGTGTTGCAGGCCCCTTAGCAAGTAACAAAGGCATTGCCCACTGTTAGCTTCTTTCCAGTTCTGCATTGGTATTCAGTAGTATGTTGTCTGAATATGGAGGTTCTAGTCACGATGCTTAATGTATTTTGAGCGACTTAGCCTCCATAATCCAGCATCATTTCTAAGCATGATCTGGTTAATACCTTTTAAAAATGTCAGCATGGGATTTGTTCTTTCTGTTTGTAGTATATAGTAGAAAGGAAATCTTAACTAGCCCATATTGCTGAGGTTATCCAATTTAAATTTTAAATCTTTAAATAATAATTTTAAATTACCATTTTTTCCATTTAGTAACATGTCAAATTTTATTTGCAGTCCATCAGCTAGATATCCAATAAGGGAATGCAAAAACGCGGAAATGGGATGAAATGCTGCAATCAGGGAGATAAATTCTGAAGACTAAATTGTGAAAAATGACAATCTATAGGTGAAATTATGTTTAACATTTAAGCCCTGAGAGGAAAATGGTTTGCCAGAGATCATAACTAAGAGGATTTTACAAAAACAGCCAGTTCCTGACAGTGTTCAAGCATTCTAAGGAATCTCATGATAAACTTGTAATAGAATTACATATTTTCCAAACAAAAATGAGTAATTTTTAAAAAAGTAATTGAAACCTGCAAGTTTTAAATCCTGGCCAACCTGTTTTCTTTGCTTACAGAATCAAACAGAAGATAGTTTACGAAAGGAACTTATAGCATTGCAAGAAGATAAACATAACTACGAGACAACTGCCAAAGAGTCCCTGAGGCGGGTCCTTCAGGAAAAAATTGAAGTGGTCAGAAAACTTTCCGAAGTGGAGGTATTTGCTAATTGTATTTTGCCTACATTCTTGGAACACAAAAATTATTTGTCTACATACCATGTAAATAAAACATTGGTATGTTTGAGGGTGGGAATTGTTTTATTGTTTTCATTTAGTGGTTTATCTACGGCTATGAGTATATTTGTTCCTACTATGATTGTATCAAGATATTGCAAGGTAGACTCCAGCAATCCATGAAGCGAGAGTTGCCAGATGTGCAAGCTGGGTTTAAAAAAGGCAGAGGAACGAGAGACCAAATTGCCAATATCTGCTGGATAATGGAGGAAGGCAGGGAGTTTCAGAAAAAAAGTTATTTCTGTTTTATTGACTATTCTAAAGCATTTGCTTGTGTGGATCACAATAAATTTGGCAAGTTCTTGGTGATATGGGGATAACAAGTCACCTTGTCTGTCCCCTGATGAATAGGTATAATGACCAAGTAGCAACAATAAGAACAGACCATGGAACAACAGACTGGTTCAAGATTGGGAAAGGAGTACAGCAGGGCTGTATACTCTCACCCTACCTATTCAACTTGTATGCAGAACACATCATGCAATGTGTGGGACTTGATGAATCCAAGGCTGGAGTTAAAATTGCTGGAAGAAACATTAACCGTCTTAGCTATGCAGATGATACCACTTTGATGGCTGAAAGCAAGCAGGAGCTGAGATAAAAGAAGAAAATGCAAAAGCTGAGTTGCAGTTACACATCGAAAAAAGATTATGGCAACCAGACTGATTATTAATTGGCAAATAGAGGGAGAAAATGTGGTGGCAGTGACAGACTTTGTATTTCTAGGCACGAAGATTACTGTAGATGCAGACTGCAGCCAGGAAATCAGAAGACATTTACTAATTGGGTGGAGAGCAATGACCAATCTCGATAAATTACTGAATAGTAGAGACATCACATTGACAACGAAGATCCGCATAGTTAAAGCAATGGTATTCCCCGTAGTAACCTATGGATGTGAGAACTGGACTGTAAAGAAGGCTGAGCAAGGAAGAAAGAGGCTTTTGAACTGTGGTGTAGAAGGAAAATTCTGAGAGTGCCTTGGAGATCAAATCAGTCCATACTTCAGGAAATAAAGCCTGGCTGCTCACTGGAGGGAAGGATATTAGAGACAAAGATGAAGTACTTTGGCCACATAATGAGAAGACAGGAAAGCTTGGAGAAAATAATGATGCTGGGGAAAATGGAAGGAAAAGGAAGAAGGGCAGACCAAGGATGAGATGGATGGATATTATCCTTGAAGTGGCTGGCTTGACCTTGAAGGAGCTGGGGGTGGCAACAGCCCACGGAGCTTTGGCGTGGGCTGGTCCATGAGGTCACAAAGAGTTGGAAGCGACTGAACAAATAAACATCATCAATGATTGTATCTAGGGAAAATGGGAGTGAGTCTTGAACTCTCATGGTCTGTATATCTTTCTTCTAGTCACTGTGGGAAATAATAAAGCCAAATCATGTTTGTATAGTCCTCATCTAAGCAGACTATTTAAAAAATATTTCATCAAATGGTTTAATTTTGCTTATTTTCTGATCTTAGTAATAATTCCAGTGTTTTAGAGGGTGTCAAAATGCCCCATGTCCACAAGAGTGTTTTTGAATCCAGTACTCTGTAGTTCCAAACACTTGATCTTAAATGGATGAAGTTTTCTGTAAGGTTTGCTACAACATCATTCAAATGTTATTTTTAGAGATGAGAATGCTTTGATTGTTCATTACATTTACCTTGGGAACTGTTTAGAGCTCTCTAGTGTTTTTTTAAGTTATTTGAAATGTTAAAAATAGACCTAGAATGTTTTCTAGTTGTAAAGTGAAAATTTTCTTCTTACAGCGAAGTTTAAGCAACACCGAAGATGAATGTACACACTTGAAAGAAATGAATGAACGGACTCAGGAAGAACTGCAGGAATTGGCTAACAAATACAATGGAGCTGTAAATGAAATTAAAGATTTAACTGACAAACTAAAGGTACTGATGGCTACATACACATGTTTGTTTCTATTTGTTGAAGCAGAGGTTGCTTTCGAAGTTAGTTATAACTTCATTGCTATCTGTTCATTTTTTATAGAGAATCTTGGTAATTATACTTTCACTGTTACATTTCATCATAATCTTTATGAACTTCTCTTTCCCCCACAAACTGAATTAGTAGTGATTGTTAAAACAAAAAGAGTATTCAAAAGGCTGTATGGTATGATGACAAGTGCCATTGAGCCTTTTTGGGACAGTTATGCCTTAAACTTTAAAACAAAACAATTATTTTCAGATTTAGGCCAAAATTGACAGATTGATTTTAGAACTTCTATACCTTTTAATTTTATTACTTTCTGTTAAGCGTGCCTAAGTTATTAGTGAGTAATCATTTTAATATCAATTCCTGCTTCCACATATGAGCATCAGGAGCTGATGCTATTAGAGCACATTATCACTCAACTTCTAGTCATGTTCAAAAAAAAAGTAGCAAGATGTTCTAAGCTTGTAAATAGGAAATGTTTAATTTTTAAAAAGGTCTTTGCTGAATACATCTCATTACTGTTTTTTATTTTATTGTGTACATAATATATCCTTTCTCATGGTAGCCAAGACATTGGTGTTATAGAATGATAGGTACTGGACTTGTGGAAAAACATTATCTCTAATAAAGTGTAGTATGTAAGCCAATAAATCACTAAAAAGGTTGCTGGCAGTTCTTCTGTGGTGTTCACAACCCTAAGTAGTGGAGCCTTGAGGATTGTGGGCCAGTCTGGTGAAGGAGTTCAAGAACATCTAACAAATTCTAATAAAAGAGGTTGGGAGCATAACATTTTTTTGCCGAGTGACAACAGTGCCTGTCCTCTTCCAATGTTTCCCAAGCGATACAACTGCTAATGTTGGCCTAGCTTAGAGAGCTTTGTGTGTTGTGGTTATCAAAAGATTTTTGGCACATAGCTATTCAGGTTAAGGGCCATTATATATTACCTTGTGTTGTGTTTTGGACATGTACAGTATTCTGAAGGGTGAGAGTTCTATGCAACCATTTATATTCATTTTCTGAAGAAGCTGTTTAAACAATTATTTATCTAACATTTCACAAAGCAATTTATGCTTTTTTATTTGTTCATTTGAGAATGATATGTTTAAAAAATAATAAGAATCATATTATTTTCTCAGTGGTTGCCAGATCATGTGGAGTGCCTTAATTTATTCACCTATTGTTTATTTTATTGTATGCCTTTATCTAATATCCAGAAATTCATTTTCTTTTAAAAAGGTATATGAAATGAAGGTATTTTTAAAATTAGAACAAAAGAAAGCAAAAATCCATAAGTTCAACAAAACATTTGTTAGGATTAACTAAAACTCTACAAAACCTGAGTATTTTATAGTTTTAGTTTTTTAGTTGTCAGTCATACAAATACTTATAATAGTTTTCCTTTCATTATTACAATTTTCTAGGAGGAGTTTTACAGCTTTCACTAGCTATCATAGAACTGAGGGAACAAAGAGCAGAAGGAAACTTCACTGCATATTACATACAAACATATATGTAATAAATGTATTGTCGAAGGCTTTCATGGCCGGAATCACTCAGTTCTTGTGGGTTTTTTCGGGCTATATGGCCATGTTCTAGAGGCATTTCTCCTGACGTTTCGCCTGCATCTATGGCAAGCTTCCTCAGAGGTGAGGTCTGCTGGAGCTGGGAAAAAAGCTCAGCTGCAGTTACACAATAGATTCCAAATTCTCACACAACTAGTCACCTGACCAAGAAACACAACATATTGGGGAAGACCAGAATGGCTTAGATACTGATCAGTGGCTCATCCTTGATCAGTGTGCAGGGGATAGCCCTGACTGGGACAACACTTCACAACATTCACACTTGCACAATCGTGCAGGTGTACCATCCCCAACCATAGACCAGGAGCAACAGGAACACATACAGGAGAACCATAGGCTCTTGGACGAATCTCAATGGATTGTCCTTGACGAATGCACCGGGGATGTCGAGGAGGAGGACAACACTTTTCACCTACACAATTCACACCAACACGATCACTTTTCTGGAGACCTACACACTACATTGCACAAAAGGGGCCCTGTCATTCCCGAAAGTAAACAGGTCTTGGTAGTAGGCGACTCCCTCCTTAGAGGAACGGAAGCTGTCATTTCCAGACCAGATGGGATGGCTCGAGAAATATGCTGCCTACCGGGGGCAAAAATACACCATATCACTCAGAGGCTCACCAGGCTCCTCAAGCCCTATCACCGTCCTCCCCTCATGTTGATTCATGTAGGAACCAATGATACTGCAAGGCATACGTTTCAAAAGATCACAAATGATTTTCGAGCTCTAGGAGCAAAGCTAAAAGAATGTAATGTACAGGTGGTCTTTTCATCCCTCCTCCCTGTTGTAAGACACGGACCCACAAGAGCCAGAAAAATAGTACAGGTCAATGACTGGCTTAGAAAATGGTGTCAGGAGGAACGCTTTGGCTTCCTCGACCATGGCCTGCTTTTCCAGGAGGATGGCCTACTGGCAAGGGATGGGGTGCATCTCACACAAGTAGGAAAACACCTTTTTGCTCACAGACTCGCAAACCTCATTAGACGCAATTTAAACTAGGTCCACCGGGGGAGGGGGACAACAGCCTTGCGAACACTACTTTACCCATAATGTCTGGGAATCGCCAGAAGGCTAAACGGAGGGCTGCACAAACACAACAAGGACCAAGTACCAAAAGCACAATAATCCCAATTAAACAGCTCAAGGGAAGATCCCAGGGGCTCACATGTCTTTACACTAATGCACAGAGCATGGGAAATAAACAAGACGAACTCCAACTTTTAGCACAACACCACAAATATGATATCATAGGGATCACTGAAACCTGGTGGGATGACTCCTATCGCTGGAATGTAGATATCGAGGGGTATAACCTCTTTCACAGAAACCGAACAAAGGGGAGAGGAGGCGGAGTAGCATTATATGTCAAAAACTCTTATGCTGCAGAAGAGATTCAAGACAGCAATCTGGGAAACCAGCTTGAAATCATCTGGATAAGAATCAAGGGAACTGGGACTCAAAAAGATGTCGTTGTAGGCGTCTACTACAGACCCCCAAGCCAGGAGGAAGAACTTGATGAAGTCTTCTGCCAACAGTTGACCAAACAGGCACAGAGAAGAGATGTAGTAGTCATGGGCGATTTCAACTATCCCGATATTTGCTGGAAAACAAACTCGGCCAAGAGTACAAGGTCCAACAAATTCCTCGCTTGCCTTGCAGACAATTTCATGGTCCAGAAGGTAGAAGAGGCAACAAGGGGATTGGCTACGCTTGATCTCATCCTAACAAATGCGGAGGACCTGATCGATGCGGTCTTGCAGACAATTTATGGTCCAGAAGGTAGAAGAGGCAACAAGGGGATCGGCTACTCTTGATCTCATCCTAACAAATGCGGAGGACCTGATCGATGCGGTCGAAGTGGTAGGATCCTTAGGGGCAAGTGACCATGTGCTCCTGCAATTTGAGGTACAAAGGAAGGCCGAAACTAAGACAAGTCAAACCCGCATTTTGGACTTTAGGAGAGCTGATTTCCAAAAAATGAAGGAAACGCTGAGCAGCATTCCGTGGACACAGATACTAAAAGACAAGGGAGTTACGGATGGATGGGAATTTCTCAAGAGTGAAATACTCAAGACGCAATTGCAAACCGTGCCAACAAAGAGAAAAAATAGGACAAGTGCAAAGAAGCCAGAATGGATGTCCAAAGAACTTCTAACTGTGCTAAGACACAAAAGAGACATGCACAAGAAGTGGAAAAAGGGAGAAATCACCAAAGAAGAATTCAAACAAATAGCCAACACCTGTAGGGAAAAGGTCCGCAAGGCTAAAGCAAAAAACGAGCTCAGACTTGCCAGGGACATTAAAAACAATAAAAAGGGCTTCTATTTTTATGTCAGTAGAAAAAGGAAAAACAAGGAGGCGATAGGACCTCTTCGAGGAGAAGATGGGGCAATGCTGACAGGCGGTAGGGAAAAGGCAGAACTACTTAATGCCTTCTTTGCCTCGGTCTTCTCAAAAAAAGAAAGTCATCTTCAACCTCAGCAAGATGGAGTGGATGAGGGATTAGAGGACATCCAACCCCAAATTGGGAAACAAGTCGTCCAGGAATACCTGGCCACTCTAAATGAGTTCAAGTCCCAAGGGCCAGATGAACTACACCCAAGAGTATTGAAGGAACTAGCGGAAGTCATTTCGGAACCATTGGCAACCATCTTTGAGAGTTCTTGGAGAAGGGGAGAAGTTCCAGCAGATTGGAGGAGGGCCAATGTGGTCCCAATCTTCAAGAAGGGAAAAAAAGGGATGACCCAAGCAATCACTGTCCGGTCAGCCTCACGTCGATACCAGGCAAGATTCTGGAAAAGATTGTTAAGGAAGTGGTCTGCAAACACTTAGAAACAAATGCGGTCATCACAGGTGGTCAGTTGAAAGATTCACACCTAGCCCAACTTACAAAAGCCTTTTGTCTCACCCTGGTCATTCCACATATATAGAAACCCCTTTTTTCCCAGCTCCAGCAGACCTCACCTCTGAGGAAGCTTGCCATAGATGCAGGCGAAACGTCAGGAGAAATGCCTCTAGAACATGGCCATATAGCCCGAAAAAACCCACAAGAACTGAGATATATGTAATATTTTGTTTCTGGGAAAGTACTAGAACATATATTTTTCAAATCTGATACTTTTTCTGGTCTGCATAATTTATTTTATTTCTATTTTAGGAAGGTCGGCGTTGACGATTTTATCTATTCACAACTTTAAAATATTTTTTAAAATCCAAAATACAAACTTTGATTTTGCAAGAAGTTTGGAAATACTGATAGTGGACATCTTTTTATTATGTTATTGTGACATAATGAGACTTGAATATCCATGGATTTTGGTGTCCACCCCTGTGGATACCAAGGATCCATTGCATTTGTTTGGTATGATAATTAATACGATATCCCAAAAGTATTGTTTGGGGATGCTAGTGTACAGAATATAATTTTGTAAGGTTGACTGGGTCTGATTTGTTATTTTCTGAATAGAAACCTGCCATGTCCATATCTTTCACAAGCACTTCATAACAAATATGATGAGTAAAATAATTCTGTTTGTAGATGTACTCATTTACACTTAGAGTCGTGTAAATGAGTACATCTTTTCGTAGGACTTCGTTGTGAGGCAGCAAGAACTATAACCTAAACTATACTAATAATTATAATTCCTTATTTTGTCTTTGCCCTGCAAACCACTGGAATGTTCCCCTCATGTATTTGAAATTAATTAAGGCATTTGGCTAAAAGAAGCTCCATATACTTGATTTAGACAGTTCCACTATACAGTTTTGAAGTGAGAGGCCCTTATGAAATATGCACATCTTTGGCCGATATCCCACTTTTTGATGTAAGATGACAGTGGGCAGATTGAAACTAGCACTTCATTGTTCACGTGAAAGCCTACAGTGGTCTTTTCGATGAATAGAATGTATTTTTTGCATAACAAAACAGGTATTCTAGTTTGCTGTTGACGAAACAAGATACATTTCCATTTTCTTTCTTAGAATGATTTGATCTATGGGTTGTTTTCTCTGGGTTATATACAGACTGCTGAAGGAAGACAAGAGGAAATCCAGCAAAAGGGGCAGGTTGAGAAGAAGGAATTGCAGCAGAAAATAGAAGAGATGGAAGAGAGAGAGCAGGAACTTCAAGCAAAAATTGAGGCTTTACAAGCAGATAATGACTTCACCAATGAACGGTTAACTGCTTTGCAAGGTCAGTTCAGTAGTCCAAACATATTTCTGTCACACCTTTTTCCTTTAAAATATGAAATATATATATTTTTTGGAATTCTGTTTACAGTCCGGTTAGAACATCTTCAAGAAAAAGCTCTTAAAGAACACAACAGCTTAGGTAGGTCTAACGTTACAATACTTTGCTTAATGCTGGATTTTTATTATTAACTTTTATCTCTTTCTTAGAATTCCAAATCCATTAAATGATTATAGGCAACAAGGATGTCTAATAATACTCTTTCCTTTCATTGTAGCTTAATTTCTATACAATTGATAAACCAGTTAATAAATGCTTATAAAAATGCCAGTAGAGGGCACTGCTTTAGAGTATTTTATATAAAGAGCTTATTGGACATTTTTTTAAAAAGTCAACAATATTACTGTTTTCCAGGTGAAATTTTATGTCATTAACTCTTTGTTTGGACTTCTACCTTGGCTTCAACATATCTGTTTTCTTGTGCACCCCCCCCCCCGCCCAATAAATGGGATGATAAAAGCATGCTAGAACTTGGCCAAACATTCCAAAATTTGACTCAGATTAGCAGCAGCAGAGGAAGGTGTAATTGCCTCCCTTCTTTTCCTTTTGCATTGGGTAGGCAAATAGCTCCAGAGTTCACTGTGGCACAATGATAGAACATAGAATAATGCTGATGAATGCAAAAAAAAAAATCTGGAGTGAGTCTCTTGCTTATCCAAATAGGCCTAGGAAACACTTCCTAACTTGGTACTCCAGGTAAGAGTCACTGGTAGGCAGGCAGTGATTGCAGCATTGGGGTAAATAGACAAGCTTGGTACAAAGCGATTTTAGTGTTCCCAATTTTGAAGCGTGGGAGCACACAGTCTACTGGTTCTTCTGAGCCACTCAGTTTAGTCCTCAGAATGGTCCCAGTGTGACTGTTACTTCAAGGAGAATTTTTAGGAAGGTCGCTTTCTGCAAAGGAGTCCATCATTTTTCCCTTTTATGCCTTTTAGAATTATGCTATTTTCTGTAGATTTTATAAGAAATAAAGGCCAGCAGCTTCAAGTTTTTACAAGAACCATAATACATTTTGCATTTCTAGTATTGAAATTATTCTTTGAAAATATTCCAAATGCCACCCTAAGGTTTGCCATCTCTAAATGGAGGTAGCAAAAGACAGTTAGCTTTTTAATTTAGTTTTAATCAGTACAGGAAGTTGACAACTGTATATGTAAGCCTACTTTACATATTCAGAATTAATACCATTTGTTAATTCTAGGCATACAAGTTGATGACTTCATTCCTAAAATTAATGGAAGCGCAGAAAAAGGTAGAGTATCCTGAATTACAACAGTTTTTTCTTCTCATGTTATTTTTAGTTATGAGCATATTCGGTTATTTGCTCATTTTTATTCTAAAACAGAAAAGGAGTAAGGTACTATAGAATAAATGATAGGTGTTATAAATATGTAGAATTCTAGTGAACTGGGTCTACACATTCCGACACCGGTCTAATTTGAAATCTTCCTCTAACAACAAAAAAAGTCTTAATAAAAGGCTATCATGCTTACATGACTATAATATGACAGATTGTAGGGAAGTAACTGTGGCATAAAAGACAGATAAAGCCTGCATGACAAATTAGGACAATAATCCCAGTAACACTTACATTTTTAATCTGATGCCAGCTGGAGTCCCTTTTAAATTCATGTAAAAAGCCTACTATAAAAAATATCAAACCACCAACAACATTTTGTTTGGGGGGACACTATCTCCGAAAATGAATAAGGATGAGTAAAGAAGTTAATTTCTGGCTGACTTCATTGAGGCTTCTTCCAACTAGCTTTGAGCCCTATACACCTTTCCTTTGTTTGCCTATTAGCACTAATATAAATGTTCGTTTTGATTTTGAGGATAAACGTTTTCTGTTACCATTAGCCCAGATAAAACAGCAGCTTCTTTAAAAAAAAAATATTAATCTTTGGTCTCCTAACTTCGTTGCAACTCTTCCTGGAATCCAGAGAAAACTGCTGGACAACTGGGACTTTTTTTACTATTACACTACCACACCTAATAAACAAGACACAAATTTAAGATGGAAAAAAAAGTCTTTTTATCATCAGCTGTAGTAAAGATGTGGTTGGAGTGCAGACCAGAGAGGATTAAAAAACAGAAGTGAGTTCTCAGGGGTTGGGCCACAAAATCTGTGCATCCTCTTCTCACGTCTACATTCTCCCTACTTCCCTCTCCAGTTTGATATTATATGACAGTGTCCATAATTTAAATTATTCTTGCTTCTCTCCATATTTGTTTTGGGGGATTTATGGAAACCTGGTTTTCAAAGTGATTTTAAGGGCATTCTGAGATTTCATTTTAGCCAGGGCTAACAATTATGATGATAATGGACATGTTTAGAAACAAGAAAAAAGGAAACTTAACTACATGAAACATAATCAAAGTACACTTCTAGGTGGATGTATGAGCTGTTCCAATCCTCTGCATGCTGTCACTATCCCTTTTTTAAAAAAATGAGAAGCAACTAGAGGGATTGTGTGCATGGGGCATGTGTGAGAGATTAAAAGAGAGAAATACAGGGTGGTTGAAAAGTCACACTATCATTTAAAAACAGAATAACTTCTTAATATCTTTTATTTATTTATTTTGAATGAATGTTTCTGTAAATTGCAATATAACATGTGTAATTTATTTAGTTAAATTATGAATGCTGATGTCGCACAGGTGACTTCAATTTGCTGCCTCACAAGCCCTTTGACTTGGATTTTTCATGGCAAGGTTCAGTGTTTCAGGTCCTGGTGCATGAATTTCTTTTTGAATGTTTTCTTTACGTTGCTGCTGGATATTGTGAAATTTGTTAACATTAATAATTCTTTAGGTAGCCCCACATGGAAAAAACCTGGAAAGGTTAAACCAGGAAAATTGGCTTGTTAATTGACATTTGTGTTTCTTACAATTACAGTTTGTCCAGACATGTCTCCGAGGAGCCGCGTAGTCTCTATGCTCTTTGTGTACACATAATAGGCTGTCAATTTTCAAAATAACATTTTACAATTTTGGTTCATTGGACCATGCTAAATTTCTCCATTAAAAAATCCATTGCATTTAATTCCCCCCCCCCCCCCCCCCCCCCCCCCCGAATTTTGGGGGTTTGCACAAATCTTGGCCCGGCCTTTTAATTTTTTTTAAATTGCCTTGAATAGGCAGGATTACTTTTAATATATGTGTGTTATGGCGACAATCTTTGTGCATATTTTGTTTTGTTAATATTATGGTTATGTTGTTTTTACTTAGTATGTTCTGTGATTTTTACCTGGGAACTGCTCGGAGTCCCCTCGGGGAGATAGAGCGGTATATAAATGAAGTTATATTATTGTTGTTGTTGTTGTTGTTGTTGTTGTTGTGGTTGTTATTATTATTAGGGTTGACATGCTAATAATATCTAAGATTTTTTTTAAAAATCTTATTATGAAGATGATTTTGATTTGTTTAATAGTAGTGTGACTTTTGGACCACCCTGTTCATGCAAAATAACATTACAACACGTGGGGGTCACTGTGGGTGTGATAGTCCTTCTTAAAACTAAATCTTTTTGTGGGGAGGGGTTTGATGATGGAGTCCTTAGAAGGCTGTTTGGCAAGCCAAGCAGTTTCTATTCTGCACTAAATTGTACCTCTTTGATACCTAGGGTCACAATGATCACCTTATTTGATCTCAGAAGATAATATATCTGTTCCTCAGAATTGGCAAGTTGTGCCACTAATTAATTATTTTTTCCTTGATTTTTAAAAAAATACACTTTATTGTCTATTCAAGAAGGGTAAGAAGTGTACGTTTATCCAGCTGTAATGAGTTAAATAATTTTAAGAAGCTTATTTGTTTCTTCTTCTTTTTATAAGGCATATTCCTTTTCAAACAAACATACGTTATTTTCCCAAATTGCAGTTGCATTTATAAAAGCAGTCTGTTTTTTTTTTTTATCATAGGGACTCACTGTTTGCACTCTTGATCTGGCCAGGAAGCTCCTTTTGCTCTTTTATTTAATTAGTTAGTTTCACATTTTTCTCCTTTTCCTCATCTCTTTCATAATTGTAAACTTTTTATATCACTTAAATTTCATGTTTCCTTCACAATTTAACATCAGAATCTCTTTTTGCCATGCAGCATTCCTTCACATATCACTGTTTTCCTGACAAAACTTTATTGTATTTTCTTCATCCTTCTTTTCCCCTCTAATTCCATCAGGTTATAACAGACCATCATTCTTCAGTGAACAAAGGCAGGCTACTCCGATCTTATTCTCTCTTGTTGCTCTTGAAGTACAGAGCCTATTGTTAGTCTTTCTCTGTAAAGAAAGTGTGGCATAGCCCATCCTAGCTTTGCCTTTCAAAACTGCCCCTATCTTTTTCATTTGGGCGGTGTGCCTGTTTTACCAGGTTTCATCAGGATTCTGCCCTAAATCTCACATTTCTTCTTAGTTCCTTCCACAGTATCACCTGCCTTCCTAGCTGCTTTGCTTGAGGGCAGATTCTGCTGCCCTATCTATAAGAGAAGAGACTAGAGAATAAGATATCATGGGTCTCTTTGGAGTGGTGCATTAGAAGAACTGTGTTTGTTACTGTCTGTTGCTAATAGTCACGATCAAATGAGTTTATTTTTCTTTTCAAAGCATAAATGTAGTGGCAATGTTTGTTGATGCCCGAGTGGTTAATTGGCAGATCTCACTCACCTGTGAATCCTATTGATAAAATTAGGAAAGTCTATACTTATGGAAGCAGACAGGCTCCATAAGATTCTTGTGTTTCTAAAATGATTTCTAAAACAGATTTTTGAAGACAAGAGAAGAATACAAATATCATATATTAGTGAATGTCACCCTCTTAGGGTGTAGTGAGGGACACTCTTTTTGTGGAAAATTTAAAGTGCAATTCTTAAACAGAAAACATGATCCCATCTAAGGTAGGGTCTTAAAAGAGAATTGCCAGCAGATATTTCGCAATGAATAAGGAAAAAATTGAGGGGCAATACATAAAAGATAAAAGGTAAAGGTTTCCCCTTGACTCTGTGGGGTGGTGCTCATCTCCATTTCTAAGGCAAAGAGCCGGCGTTGTCCATAGATACCTCCAAAGTCATGTAGCCAGTATGACTGCATGGAGCGCCATTACCTTCCTTCCGAAGCAGTACCTATTGATCTACTCACATTAGCATATTTTCGAACTGCTAGGTTGGCAGAAGCTGGGGCTGACATTGGGAGCTCCCCAGTTTCAAACCACCAACCTTTTCATCAGCAAGTTCAGCAGCTCAGCGGTTTAACACGCTATGCCACTGGGGGCCAATACATAGCTGTTTTAAAATGTTACACCAATAACCATTACTCTTACTCTAAACGTCTTAGACTATATATTTAAGAGAATGTTATCATGATATTGTTGGAGTTATTTGAAGATATGATACATCAGCTACATATTATATTCATGTAGTTTTATATACCTAGAATCAAATCACTTGAGATTTGTTTTTAACAACTGCTATATTCTATAAAACAGATGACAGGATATAAATATCCAGCAGACTTTTTCAGAATTCTTCTTGAATCATGATTTAAAGACTGCATTGAAGGGGTTTATTTGAAATAATTTATTTAACTATTAATTAGTTTATTAAAATACGCTTCTATTTTCTGAGCTGCTTGTTAGGTTGTAGGACAGAGCAATGACAATCAGTATAACCTACTACATAAAACCCAGTAATAACCAAATATATGAACATTGATTTGTTGTGAGATGAAGTAATATTCAGTTTAGAATGACAAATTTGGAGATAATATTTCTTCATTACGCATATGAAATAGAATTGGGGCAAAAATACATTTCTCCCATATTCTATCATTAAACTAACTTGTAGAAGTATCCTGTTGACACAATCTGTATTTGGAATATGTGAACTGTCAACAATTCAAACAAACATTGTTGTAAATTGTAAGCCTTAATGAATTTTAATATGTAAGCACGCAAATCATAAAATTTGTATATTTACATCTTCAATGTATTCCATATTTTACTGCTGCCTATTATTGAGATTTTTTAAATCCTCCATTTTATTTTTATGCTTTTTTTTGAGGAAACATCCATTCCCCTGTGCCTGTGAGGCTTATAAATTTTGTTATGAATGCTCAAAAGATGGAGATATGAACTTAAAGATGTTTCTTTCTTTACTAGAGCTCTTTCTTTCAAAGAGTGGAGGGGACTGCACTTTTATTCATCAGTTCATAGAGTGCCAGAGTGAGTACACAGCATTCATCGTATTCACTAAAAAGTCTATAAAAAGATTACCATCTATCATCTGAGCAGTTCTAGTGGTACTTTTGGAAGCTATGATAAGAAGTACAGCTTTTTAAAAATAATTTATCAATCCCATATTTAGTATATTTTAATACATGTTTCCATGTTGGAAGCTGTACCTTAATTATAGCTACTACTATTCTATTGTAAAATAGTTATACCTAGTTATATAGTTTTGTTAACTGTGATGATGCTACAATCATAAATAGCGTTAGAAGATCCAGGATGGGACAGATTCTCAGTTTTTTTGTGGGATGAGGTTATCAAGTCAATGTTAAGTTGTAAATCTAGCTCAAAGAGTTGGGTAATCGTTATCCTGCATCCTCAAAATTATTTTTCTGAACAAATTTCCAGTCATTTTTCCAATAATATGGGAATATTGGGAACCAGCAGAATCAGTACTCCATGCACAAAATAATCCATATTTTTTCTATAGAAAGAGTTGTATGAACTCTACCATGATTATGCAGTTTTATTTGCGTGTCTGAATTAATCTGAGTCACCGGGGAAGACCTGGTTATATATTCAGTCTTATTGTTGAATACTGGCATGAGGTTGTGAAATTTAGACATTTAGGTTCAGTGAAATTTAGATTCAGGTTCTTGCTCAACTGGACATCTGCTTTCTGTTATTTTAGTATAGCATGTGAAGAGAGAAAATGCATATCCTTCCATAGTAAAATACAAATGTAGATTTCACTTTGGAAGAGATGTGCAGGTTATTATAAAAGTGTGTGAAGTGAATCAGCCTCCCTGACTTTTATAGATTATTGCAAAATTTTATGGAATAAAAGGAAAATCTTGCCTTAACAAGTTATGAGAAGGGATAAGGTTATGGGCTTTTGAACAATTCAGAGGAAGAATCTATGTGATCTATAAATAATTGTTAAGGGTGCAGAAGAAAACAAATCAATACATCAAGTATGTCCTTGTTTATCTTGTTACTTTTTAGTAACAAGATAAAAAACCAAATCTGGACAGGGTATTGGGCACAGTATTCCCCACAACACAGTTGATGTTAATTTTTAATCTCCTTTAAATTTCAGAAATTGTCTTTGTCATTTATCCTTCTGTCCCTGTTCATCTCTCTCTGTTTCTGTGTAACCTTAATAAGTAACACCTGGGCAAAAAGATAAGGATTCACAATTTTATTATAACCAGTAATAAGTTCAGCACGTACATTCCAAAAATTGTTAGATTGGGATGGTAATATTGTAGAAAGCTATTCACAACTCAGACATTGCAACCTTGTTAACAATGCCAAGTTAAGAGAATGAAACAAACAACATTGAAATAAAGTATTGATAGATCTCTTACACTAACTAGAGACACCTAAGATTTACAGCATCCCTTCCCATGTTAACAGTGGAGTTTGTCTCCTTATGAACAAGTGTACAGTAAAATCTCTGCAAATTGTACAGCCAGGTCTTGATTTTTCTTCTTTCTTTCTTTGTTTAATATTCATAGGCACATACTAGTCTAGTTCATTCTAGTTTCTTAGGATCGCTAAGAACTATGATTCTCTGCATAGAACACACTTCATATTTAATCAATCAATTAGTAGCCTGCCTTCTTCCCAGGATGGGGTTCAAGGTAGCATACAACTCTTTAAAAGCACAATATAGTTTTTAAATGCTTAATACAAACGTTAAAAACAAGCTGCATTTCTGTTTAAAAACACAAATTAAGAACAATATTAAAAACAAGTTAAAATACAGAAGGTCTGGGGCTAGATTTTCACTCAGCATAATCATGTCTGAGTAGGACTTACTTTGTAGACAGTCCATAATAAATAAACTTAACACATGATAGTTTTCTGCATAGATATACAGCAAATATTAATAATATTTGGAAATGTATGTGATTAATCACTTAGATCTACAGATATGGAACCTGTACTTTTATGCACGCCCTTAATAAAACAAATACCTGAAAATTGTATGTAAGAGTATGATATGGCTTACTGGGCATTTACTGTTAACTGTCAAGAAATCTTAAGGTGCATAAAAATCCACATTTTACTTCTTGACAACACAGAGCCCTTCTTAAAATGATTTTGTGATGTTTTACGTTCTAGTTTTTTTGCTTTTAGTAGATTTGTGGCCCAGTTTTAGCTGTACTCTAAGCCTTCTTGAGGCTGTTTATTAAAATGGGGTATAAAATATTGGCCAGGGTCCAGAGGTGTACTTTCCCACAGCCTCTGCCAGAGTTATGACCCCCCCTTTGGCCATATGGCTTTGTAGTGGAAAGTATATCAGTATAGACATGAAAGAGTAGATAAATGAGGACATATAAAATGCAAAACATATATACATACTTTCATTTAGAAATATTATTGCCTGCCATTTGAGGATCAGAAATGTTTTGTTATGGTGTTTAGATGACAGAGCATTTTTATACAAATTCTTTACAGATAGCGAATGGACTTCACTGTGTTCAGTTTGTGCTTTTCTCTCAGATATCCTATATGTTACATAGTTGATCTATTTTGAGCAGGGTCTATTTCCATAGACAAGATATATCATGCACAACCTAAGCTTCAAGCAGCAGTTTTGATTTTCATAGGGTGATATTTGGTCTAGTTTTTTCTTAATTTGTCCACTTATGATAAAATATCTAAAGTCAATTTTAGGTTGCATAGTTTCTGTTGGAATTCCAGTCTTATCCTTGAGCATACGTTTTGGATTTGCCTTAATTACTTATCCTTATCAACCTTCCATTAGTTTATTTAGCAAAGCCCCCCACAACAACCCACATATGATGTAGTTCAGTTCAGATTTGTGAGACAAGCATTAGAAACATCAAAATGCATTTGATTACTTAAGTGGACACATGAGCTATCATAATTGAAAACAATTTGGGCAGAGATTTTGTCTGAAGGATGTTCATACATGTACATTGTAATGTTGCAGTTGTAAAAAGGGAGACATAATAAAATACATTTAATAAGAAAAATAAGCAGTTGAAATTTGTGTGAATTCCACAAATCTTCACATTCTCATTACCATTTTATTGTTCAGCAGGAAGGTATCTGCCTTCAAGATAGTACAGAATGTGTGATTGACTCATTTTCTGCCCCATCTGTCTTGTGCTACCTCTTATTCTACTCTCACCTCCTAGTTTATGACTCTTCTGGTATCTTTGTTCCTTCTCCTGAAGCTTTCATTTGGTTTCTTAGTCTGATTTTTCCACATTGTCATATTAATTTGATTTTCTTTTCCTGCCTATTCTTGTACTGTGTGTTGTTCCTGCCTCATTAGTTTGCTAACAAAGTATGAGGCCACCAGAGTTGTACATCTTGTTCCAGTCTTCTTTCATTCCCACTTGCTAGTCCTCCCAGTGATCATTGCAAGAAAATAGTGAGCACTTGTACTGAATAGCCAACTTATTGGCAGCTACATGGGAGAGGAATCTAGTTCTTCTCTTCCTCTTTAAATTTAGACAGTGTGAGGAAACAGTTGGGCGGGAGTAAATGTGTGGTAGAGGTATATGAGACAAATAGGTATACTTTGGTTCATTATAGTCTATTTCTTCTATTCTAAGACACACTTTTCCCACTATATAAACAGCTCTAAAAAGAGGTTGCATCTAAGAATCAAGGTTGCCAATGTTGTGTATATATACATACATGTTGGTGGTGCTGAAATTAGTGTGTATCTTTCACATGATAGCATCTTAGAATCTAAGAAATGTGATATATTATTAGCTGCCCTAGAGCTCATGTCAGGAGAAAGGAGAGATGTGTATTAATTGAGCAATAAAGTTACAGAGATGAACTATGTATGTGGCGGAATTTCTGTATAGTTTTAAGCTAGATGACATAGCACCATTCTGTGTACTGTTTTCACAACAGTTTGCCATGTTGCTCGTTTTTGGACATTGTAACAGAACGTGACCATATTATGTATTAATGTGACCACTATATATTATGCATGCACATTGTATATCTATTTTGAGCGCCTAGAAAAATGCTTCAAAAATAAGGAGGACACTGGGGGAATCAGTACTAACAATGTCTATGAGATTGTCTTTTTTGTAGCTCAAACAATTTCAGTGATGATTACATGTCCTTGTTATGAATTCTTTGTGAATTGTGTTTGTTGTTGAATTTTCTCCAGATACATAAATAACTACATCTTTTTGACCAATCAGTGAACCATGTAGGTTTATAATCACTAGTCAATGTGATTATAAATTTATGCTTCTATATACCAGGTTCCGGGAACATACAGAATGCTATCGCACTTGCATCCTGCTTATTGCAATCTCTTGAGCTACTGTGGAGATAGAATGTAGGACTATATAGACCTCTGATTTGATCCCGCAGGGCTTCCCCATGTCTCCATTCAGTAGCATTGGTTTGCAAATCCTTCCACAACATTTAAAATGATTTTTAAAATCTTATTTTGCCTAGAGATTTCAAACTGTATTTTGTATAATTGTTTCATTGTACTGGAAAAAATCCACTGAGTCTCTCAACAGAGAAGTGTGAGGTAATTGCTTGTTTAAATTTGGTCATGGAATGTAGGTTGAGACGTGTACAAAGAAATGCTTGCACAGTTCCAGCTAGGATAGTAACCCTTATTTTATTCAGCAGACAAGCTCATAGACGAAGGACATCTTTCCAGAGTGGATGAAACAAAGATTCTGAAAGGTTAGCCTTCCTAATTTACTTATTTTTGAGGCATGTAATGGACCTTTGAATTGGGCATTGGAGCTTTTTAATAAATGTGAGGAGTTTTTTTAAGGAATATGGTACACTTGCTCACACCCTTTTCTCAAAAAATACTCCTACTTCCAAGTAATGTTCTTAACAGTGCCAGTGTTCATGATAGCAATAATAATAATAATGGAGAGATATTCGAGACATACCTTTGAGACTACAGGTGAAGCCTTTCTGTATTACAGGCTTAAATATGGAAATAAAATATATATTTACCTACTACGAATGAATTTCTTCCGATAAATAATCAACTCATTGTAGAACTTACCAACCACTGTGAAATTTATTATATTCAGGATTTTAAATTTTGCTATATAGTTTGAAATATAAATATTTCCTTGAATTCTATGTATGTCTTTATAAAATTATTAATACTTCATTGAATTATTTTAATCAAAGATGAATATTTTCATTTTTATTCTTTAGACAATAGCAGTTTTTAAAGCTTGTACTTGATTGGTTTTCTGTGTGTTCCTTTTGTGCAAAGTGCAGGAGGCATGCCATATTTGGAAAAGAATGCAGACAATAAACACAAGTGTAATTCAATGCTTACATGCCAGTATTATCTTGAAGAATGGTGAGCTATTTTTGCACTGATGTGTAATGCATTCCATTTACCCTCTAAAGATTCATCGATGAAGTTTAAAAATAAAATTTAAAATAAAATCTAAAATAACACAGTTACTTTAATATGAAACAAAAATAGAAGAACAGAAGAAACCAATATAAATGTGAATTTGTCACCTATTCTAATTGACTAATACAATAAACATGCAGGGAAGATGTGAAATTAAATCCCTGGCATCTCACTTTAAAATAAAATATAAATAAAATCTTCCCTAATAAAAAATGAATTTGTCACCTATTTAAATTGACTAATACAATAAACATAAACCTGTGGGTTTGTTTTTGTTTTGTTTTTTGCATAGAAAGGTACCACCATAACAGTTCATGTTGTGTGCAGGGGTGATGTGAGATTAAATCTCTGTCACTTCACTTTAAAACAAACAAACAACAGAAAAGACCGCTTTCTGAGATTTCAGGGAGTTGTTGCCTGTCTATTTGGGCAAATTGTCTAACTTGGGATAAAGCATTTTCTTATATTGATATAATTAGTGGTGTCACTAATATGCTGCCTTTTTGATTGATTACATCTATAACATTTTTGAAACCTTTGCTTAGGGTTGTTAAAACCAAATGTAAAAATATTAAATACCCATATCTAAGGCTGAAATAAAAAAATGTTAAACTACCCATCCAAGTAGTCTTGTGGAATTCTCTTTAGCAGCACATTGCTATGACATACTGTTTTCTTACTTTCCTTAGTTTCAGACACTATCTGCTGTGCAGCGTGAGGGCTGGCATTCAGGAAACTTCAGTAAAATTCTCCTTGGGGAATCCAATATATATTGAAAAGTTTTTGTGTCATTATCACTATAGTTAACAAAACTGAAAACTGGATGCTTTATCTTTTGTAGACATGAAGTCTGAGTTTTAAATTTTTTATACAAATTCCTGTAGAATTATATATATTGAAGCTTAGAATCACAATTAGGAAGTGGAGTAGGAATGAGTAGACAGGAGAATGAAATTCACTGTGTTTAATGCCCGTGTCTCAGATGACTCACTGATAGGTCATTTGTTTCTTCTTTGTCCATATAGGGAAATATGAATTACACTGCTGCAAAAGGCATTACATTCAGATTAATACTTTCAAGATAATAAACTGTCAAGAAATCTAGTCGCATTTTAACATGCAATACTGGGGTGTGGTGGTAATAAAAACAGCAGGAAAAAAGTCATTGGTAGGCACTAAAACCATTTAAAACATTGAATCTATTAAAGCAACTAATGAATTGTGGACACTGAAAAACTAGGAAGATAACCTTCCCTCCATTTGTTACTTTGTTCAGTCTCCTTTTATGTACAGTTGTATCTGGATTTGATTGAAAAGGAGAGTGTTAAAGTTCCAGTACTTTTCTCTACTTATTTTTTTTGTTCTATATGTTTACGGTTTGTGTACTTGTTCCTTTATCTGGATGCTGTGTTTGCCATGTCTCTAGATCAGTGGTTCTCAACCTGGGGTCCCCAGATGTTTTTTGCCTACAACTCCCAGAAACCCCAGCCAGTTTACCAGCTGTTAGGATTTCTGGGAGTTGAAGGCCAAAAACATCTGGGGACCCCAGGTTGAGAACCACTGCTCTAGATGGTGCTGAAGATATCAGAGACTAAGAACAGAATGGTTCAGAACAAGACTTTTTGTGTTACAGCACCTACTCTCTGGAGCTATCTCCCAGTCCATGTTTTAAAAAAGTTTCTTCTGATTTTCTGGTAGCTTCTAAAATGTATTTGTTTTAGTAAACTTAATCAGATGCAACCAATTCATAAATGTTAATAAATGAATAAATATTGATTTCACCTGGTTCTAAAACTGTGAACAACATCTGCCAGCAGGTTTATGAAGATGCTGAAGAAATGGATATACATGGCATCAAATTAATAGTTTTCTATCATTCAATTCTTGATTAGGAGAAGAACTGTTGAATAAAATGCTTCACATCAGTATTCTGGGGATTGATCCAGGAGGGTAACATTTTCATAATATTAAAAGCCCTGGGTGGTCAAGGAAATCTCAATAGGAACACACACAGTCTGTTAGTGATCAAAATAGAAGAAATCATTCTTTTGAGATGGATCTGTCTGCTCAAGTGGCTTACCCAAGAAAGAGTGATTCTTCATAACCCAGTAGTTAGTAGTACTTATGCAGTCCAAGGAAGGGTTCTTTAAGGGAGGCTTCACAACTGCTGGAACAATTCTTCCTCCAGAAAAAAAATGTTAATTATATGGTCACATGTATCCACTTCTCTTATCTAGATATAATTGTCCAGAATGGCAAAGAATTGTAAAAGGTTGGTAAAATGAGTTTTCAGTGCCTTTAACACATCTTTGGGCTGTCATAACTACAATGTTCTTGTAGTTCTTGGAGTGTTCTTCATCTGTATATAGAATTTAAACTAGAAACTGTATTAGAGTAAATATCAGTTTTATCTGTGAAGGATATTCTTAGAAGTCACTTGAGCTTCTCTAAGAGCCACAATAAAGAATACCTGCCATTGCTTAGAAAAAGCTCAGGTGGATAGCACTGTGCACATTGGAGATAACCAGGTTTCTTTGTCACTGTCAGTGCCACCTAATAGGTCTTCACGAGAGGCTCTAATAAGTTTTTTTTAAAGGAGGCTTTCCCATTTTTTCTTCCATTTGCATTTCAGGATACTGTTCCCTCCTTGGAAATCTGAGGTTTAGTTGCTTAGGAGAAATTACAGTTATTCCGATCAATTCTGAATTCCACAGACAAACTACATTTTGACAGGAGTATTAGCCGTGTCAGTAGACAATTCTATTAGGTCAGGAAACCAATTAAAGCTGAATTCAAAATGATCTTAACAGACTAGAGAGATGGGCCAAAACTACAAAATGAAGTTCAGCAAGAACAAATGCAAGGATACTCCAGAACAAATGAAATGCAAAGATGCAGAATGGGGGAATCCTGGCTCGACAGCAGTATGTGTGAAAAAGACCTTGGAGTCCTCATGGACAACAAGTTAAATATGAGCCAACAACAGCAGCAGCAACAACAATAACTTTATTCTTATATTTATTTATTTATTTATTTATTTCTGGTACTTTTACCCCGCCCTTCTCAACCCCCGGAGGGGGACTCAGGGCGGCTTACAAAGAAGGCAGAATTCGATGCCTATACATAGTAATACATAGTATACAAAAATATAAAAACAATATACAAAATGTAATTAAACGATCAACACAGTTAAAACATCAACAACCGGTGCATAACACATTATATAAAATATCATCAAGATCATTCTTATAATCAGCGTTTCGTTTCCAGAGTTCCTCATGTCCAGTCCGTTAGTCATTTCCTAGCCATCAATAAAGTTCTTTCTTTATTTGCCCGCCTGCCCAAATGCCTGGTCCCAGATCCATGTTTTTAGTTTTTTCCTAAAAGAAAGGAGCGATGTTGCAGATCTAATTTCCCCGGGGAGTGAATTCCACAGGTGGGGGGCCACCACCGAAAAGGCCCTGCTTCTCGTCCCCGCCAATCTCACCTGTGATAGAGGCGGGGTCGAGAGCAGGACCTCTCCAGAAGATCTTAGGCTCCGGGGTGGGACATAGAGGGAGATCCGTTCGGACAGATACACTGGGCCGGAACCGTTATATCCTGCCACCATCTTACCAAAGGAGCAGCTTACACGGGGACCAAGCCCAACATAAACAGAAGTAAAATATAGCACAATTAAAATACATTGCATTGCAATAATTAAAACAATAAAACCATGCAACAGACATCATAAAAACAGAAGAACATAAATAACCATCAACCAGTAGCCAAGAACAATGGGCGTGTTCAGATCTAGGCAGGCAGGGCAAGGGTTAGTGCAATACAGCTGTAAGGGCGAGGCTGGTAATAAAGTGCTACAGGGCCAGACAGCAAATTAGGGCTAGGGGGCCTAGTCAATAGAACCAATTAACCAAAGGCACATTGAAACATCTACATTTTCAAGTCTTTACAGAAGGTAGACAGGGTGGGTCCTCGTCTAATCGTCCAACCATGCTTGTGACGAAGGGAGGGGGAGAAGGATCAACCCAGCAGATCTTAAAGCCCGCGCAGGTTCATAGAGGAAGATGCAATCACAAAGATAGGCAGGACCTGAATTATGCGAAGCATCAGCTTAAAAAGTCAATGGAATTTTGATCTGCACAAGTAGGAGTATGGTGTCTAGATCCAGGGAAGTCTATTCTGCCTTGGTCCGTCCACACCTGGAATACTGTGTCCAGTTCTGGGCACCACAATTTATGGGAGATGTTGACAAGCTGGATAGCCATGTATAAATATATGAATAGAAGCCATAGAAAGGAGGGGGCAAGCTTGTTTTCTGCTGCCCTGGAGACTAGAACATGGAACAATGGCTTCAAACTACAGGAAAGGAGATTCCACCTGAATATTAGGAATAACTTTCTAAATGTGAGAGCTGTTCAGCAGTGGAACTCTCTGCCCTGGAGTGTGGTGGAGGCTCCTCCTTTGGAGGCTTTTAAACAGAGGTTGGATAGCCATCTATGAATGTGATTTTCCTGCTTTTTGTCATGGGGTTGGACTGGATGGCCAGTGAGGTCTCTTCCAATTCTTATGATTCTTATGATTCAATGGGAGGGCTTGTTTCAATTTGGGCTGAAGGGCTGGTTGTTTAAAGATGTATTAATGTGGCTAGAAGTAGTAATCTGATGTTGTCAGTGACTAGATGCAGAGTATATAGCAAAATGAAAGGATTTTTCTTGATGTTTTCTTTCAATTCTTGTAAATAACGAATAATACAGTTTTTCTCCTATAGCTGGGAAATCTCTGAACACAGTAAATGTGCTACAATTCTTGCTCATCTCAGTGTTACTAGACAGTCCTTATCAGTCTATTTCTCTTTGAGTTTTTTTCTATAGAAAACGTACCTCTTTATTATTTCCCCTCTGTATTTCAGTGAAATTGATACATTTTTAATTGTGGTATGCTAAACAACTTAAGATTGATTAAAAAAAAAAAGAACTGTAATGCAAAGAGGCCTAGTAGCACTTGTGAAACTGAGAGTAAGAAGTTGTAGTATAAGCTTTGATAGACGTAGAATTGATGTCTATGAAAGCTTGTAGTAGAAGATGCACCTGATGATATAGAAGATGCACCTGATGAAATAGACTTAAGTCTACAAAAGCCTGTGCTACCAACTTTTTTCTCTAAGTTAGTCCACAAGGTGCCATGAGACCCTTTTGTTTATCAATGGAGATCAACACAGCTGTCCTTGAATTTTCTCTATGTAGTGTTTGCATGTTATGAAAACATTAGCTCTAAAACATCAACATCACATTTAAATACTTGCTTTGAAAACAGCGGCTAGTTTGCCACTGCTTCTTAGTAGTATTCGAAGAAGTACTAGAAGTAGTAGTAGTAATTATTAATATTTTATATTTGTTTATATATCACCTTTCTCCCATAATGGGCCTCAAGAAGGCTTACAAAATAGAGGCAGTCCCCAAGTTACGAACAAGATAGGATCTGTAGGTTTGTTCTTTAGTTTAAGTTTAATAAGGGTGTTAATTCTTCCCTATGTGATCCAAAGCGTGTGTGTGTGTGTGTGTGTGTGTGTGTGTATAGCTTTGGATTGCATAGGGAAGAGTTAATACCCCTGTGATGTTTGTTTTGCTGTCTGTGCCTTCATTCAGAAGATTTCAGCTTACTTTCAATCTCTACAATAATTTAACTTTGGAAAAATATGGCTTGTTGTGGAAACAAGGATTAGTGATAAAGCTTCAGTGGAGACTTGATAACTCTTTCAGAAGTGAATTTCCCTTCCTAGGGTAGATTTCTCTTATGTCCTGTTGTCTCACCCCATTCTTAACTATGAGTCGTTTGTATGTCGGATGTAACTTGGAACTACCTATAATTAATACAATATGTTATTCATTATGTACAAGGAAAAAATAGTTGAATAGGCACTAAGAGAACTCATTTATGAGTTCTCTGTTAAAGCTGAATGTGTTTTCCCAGATGAGGCATACTTGCTGAGTTATAGCATCTATCTAAATGGAAATGTGGCTATAAAAACTGCATTTAGATTTATAGACTTAAATAATATGAAAAATGATCTTCACAATGAAGTTCTCATTTCTCTCAGAATTGATCAACATTTAATCAATCTTATGTGCTTCAGTCAATTTTTGAAACATAATTTGTAGGTGGGCAGGAAGACTTATAAAAAGTTGTGAATGAGACAAGGAGGTAGTTTTTGATTTATCAGGATTATTTGAACACAATTTCCTATTAACACTCCTTTGGAAAAGTTGTTTATATTGTTCTGCATAACTTCAGATGTTGGGTTATTTTAAATTTTGTGCTACTGTACTTGAGGGCTCCCTCTTATTATTATGCAAGCCTTTTCTTACCTAATACAACGTGCTCTAAAGCAGTGTTCATTCTAATAGCCCTTTCCTTTCTAACATGTTACAATATCTGTATTGTTCTGGAACTAGTTTTCAGTGTCCCTCTCTCCTGATTTGCTCCCTGAATTAGTGAACAAAACAACAAACTTTACACTGGGTTCCAGCTGGCCAGAGTACAAGTTTTAAACAAAAGGCTAAACTATGCATGAGGCAACTGCATCCTGTGTTGGGTTGTTTAGTATTAAATATGTGACCTGGAGATATTTAATCCAGTTGGGAACAGGAGTGGAAAGACATAAGAAAACATTGATTTTAACTGGTGTTCTTTTATATTGTTTTGACCTTACATTTTTCATGTGGAAAATACAACTTGAAAGAATACAAGGAGTACTGCTTAATGTCTATGTATTGTAACAGAGGCATTTTTTTCTTTTATAGAAAATCAGACAAAAGCTAAGGAAGCAGAATTGTCAGATACTCTTAGCCCAAGTAAAGAGAAAAGCAGTGACGACACTACAGGTATGTTTGGGGTATATGTTTACATGTACTCGGATGTCATTTAAAAATACAAACAAAAACTTTAAATTTCAGATAATTTTTTTAAATGCTGTATTTTCAGATACATGTATGTTGCTATTTTTCTTATTATGTGTTAAATAATATGACACTTGAAATGCTACAATATTTTTATTTTTCCACTTAGATGCTCAAATGGATGATCAAGAACTGAATGAACCTATTGCTAAAGTAGCTCTCTTAAAAGGTAAATTACTACTTTTCTTCACAGTTCAGATTGATTCCTGTAGTTTTTTCTTGATACAATATTCCAGTTTATGATAGTGAAGAATAGTAAGTTTGAAATATTATTAAATGGAACATCAGTTTACTTGTAGAATATAATTAAGAATTTTAATTGCTTCTTGATGGTGTATAATAGATACTGTATGCATAGGTTTAAACAGCAGCTGAATCTATGTAGAAGTGGTTTTCACTAACCAAAGTGATTGCAGCTTACTACAGTGTAACTTAAGAGTTTCTTAATAATTTTATCAATAAAAGTCCTTCAAGGATGCTCGTTTGGTCACCAAATCCAATTTATTAGTATATTTATTTCACGTTGTACTAAGTATGTTTATTAGTATATTTATTTCATGTTGTACTAAATTTTATCTGGTACGTCAGATAAAATTTAAATATCTGAAGTACCAAGTTTAATATTTTGCAAACAAAAAATATAATCCCTATAATTTCCTCTTGAGATTTTGTGCTGCTGCACAGCATTCCTATAAAAGTTCAGCTGAAATTAATGCAGCATGTAATGAAGCTATATTCTAGTAAGTGATTTGTACATATATGTGCAACTACTGCAAGAGACTTGAATTGAAGAGCAGACACTTCTCATAGTATCAGTCATGATTAGTACAGGAAAGGCATGGTAACCTCCAAGCTCAGTTCAACCACTACATATTTCCACCAACTCAGAAGCAGGTGGCCCATTGTGAAAGGCTTTTCAGTGTACCAGCTACCAGTTAGCTCTAGGCCAAATAAGATTTGTGTTTAGAGATCCTTGATTGACCCTGGTAATTTCTTGTTCTTTGCCTAAGGGCATCTGCAAAATGAAATAAGCACAAATTGAAGTGCAGCTGTTTTGCTTTATGAGAGGGATTCACCCTTTAACATATACCATTTCTCAATTTAGACCTTGAAGATTTCTATTACTTTTAAAAGGGAGGCAAGTGGAAGTACCTTTTGCAGCTGTTGAGGGAAAAGAACTGAAATCCTTCCTTCATGCAGGAACTTCAACCCCTGCCCCTTCTTCACTTATTTTGAAGCAGAGACCAGGATAATAAAAATGTCTCCCCTGTGTCTCATGTATTTTGTCTGTATGCATTGATATGGAGTTGTGAACTTTCAGCCAATTGGATTTTGAGTGTATTTTAATGTATTTATCGTATCAGGAGACAACCAGACAGTTGTATTGTATTTAATAAAAAAACAAACAAGCAATCCCCTCCCAAACCCACAAAGTTTACAGGCTTGGTATTCTATTAAATGTCCTTTGACCAGTAGCTGGTTACTTGGAGTGCCTGTGGTGTTGCTGTAAGAAGGTCCTCCATTGTGCATGTGGCACATTTTAATGATGAGTGATAATTTTCAGGTTTTATACTTCTGAATGAATACCTTAAAGTGCATTGGTTGTGAATGTTAGTGTCTGAGATAATGTTAAGTTAGTTAAATTATAGAATTATAGAATCATAGATCATAAATTATAGAATTATAGAAAAGACCACAAGGGCTACCCAGTTCAAACTCCTACAGTGAAGGCAAACCCAATCACGGTGGTCCTGGCAGATGGCCATCTAGCCTCTGCTTAAAAACCTCCAGAGAAGAAGACTCCATCACACTCCCAAGGCAACATATTCCACTGCCAAATAGTTGTTACCCTCAAGATGTTCTTTCTAATGTTTAGGAAGAAATTTCTTTTCCTAGAGTTTGAATCCGTTGCTCTGTGGCCCAGTTCCAGGATTAGCAAAAAATGAACTTGTTCTTACCTCAATATGATATCCTTCCAAATATTAAAATATGACCATCTTGTCTCCTCTCAACCTTCTCTTCTCCACATTAAACATCCCCAGCACTCTAAGCCGCTCCTAATAATTTCCCTTGAACCAGACACTATACTCCTACTGATGCAGCCTACAATTGCATTGGGATTTTTTTGGCTGCTGCATCACTCATATTCAGGAGTTAAAATTTTTTAGATCCCTTTCACATGGACTGTTTTCAAGCTAGGTCATGCCCATTCTATATCTGTACATTTTGGTTTTTTTCTGCCTGAGTGTAGTCTTATACATATCTCCTTGTTAGAGCTCATTTTGGCAGTTTTGGACCAGCTCTCAATTTTGTTGGATCTTGATCCTGTTCTCTGGGATGGAATCCTGTCATATCCCTCCCAATTTGGTGTCATCTGCAAATTTGATAAGCATGCCATCTACTCCATTATCCAAGTTGGATTATTGGTCTGGACTTTGAATGGCAGTTGTTTTTTTTCCTTAGCATTTTGTTTGGTAAAATAAACATTCAGTACAAACACAAAGCTAAGTATGCTTATACCAAGATGTTTCTCTTACTTTTCTTTTTTTTCTTTATTAAATTTTTTAACTATTTTAACTATATTAAAATATGATACAAAGATTAAAAATAAATAACAGAAAGCAACATGTAGAATAGACTACATACAAAGGAAGGGAAAGAAAAGAAAGAAGGAAAAAAAAACACCCCTGAACATTGACTTCTGATTTTTTAGCAATAGTTACAAATGCTATAGGTTTTTATTTCCTGTATTCTAATCAACAATATTTCATATGTCTACTACTTACATTACAATTAATATTCAAAACTCATATAAAAATATTATCCCTCCAACACTGCCAAGAAAACCTGACTATTCATGGTGGCCAGGCTTTTACAAAGGTTTCCAAAGATTTGTCTCTCATTAAAGTAGGTAACTTGTCCATTTGAGTTAAATCTCAAAGTTTTGTGATATGTATATTAGTTTTATTGCAGTGCCCATATATCATTTGTTTTCTAACTGATCATCCATCTGTCCCAGTGAAAACAATTCTAGTTTCAACTGAATTTTTTTTAAAGAATCTTGTGGGTAAAATAATGTGGGTAAAATAATATAATAATGTATGTTTTTATTTTTGCATTTTCACAAATCCACCATATATGGTTAAAAAATCCCCTCTTGTTGTCCATTTTTCCATGCCTTATTGTTTACACTTCAGTTTTTTAGCCAATGAAGTGTCAAGTACCAATGGTACATCCTCTTATAAAATTATCCTTTAGATCAGAACAAAAAATAAATTTTAGGCCCTTAGTCCACATTTTCCTCATTGTTCCAAATATACATATTGTAACCAAAGTTTTGTGCCCATTATACCTTACATTCTTACCAACTGCCATCACGGTTTATACATTTTACCAATTATTTATTTATTTATTTATTATTTATTTACTTTGCTTATATACCGCTGAATCTCAAGCCCGAAGGCGACTCACAGCGGTTCACAAACAGTAGAAACAGTAGAAACAGCAGTGGTTCCATACAACATATAACAATTGACTTAACACATTATCCATAAATTACCAATAAGCAATTACAATGCACAATTATTACAAAAAACAACCGTACCCAATCTTCTCATCATCCAAGCGTAGTCCAGATTCGTCGTCCATTGTTCCATTCCTATGTTCCATTACCAGATTGTACTAAATTACTCAAACGCCTGCACAAACATCCAGGTCTTCACCTTTTTGCAGAATAATTAAATGTTCATCTTCCTTGCATAGCTTCATCTCACATTCAGTCTTGTTGGTTCAAAGCTATATACATTTTAACTCATCATAAATCTCTCAAATATTTGTCTAAAGGAATACAATTGGAAAATATACCCCTCAAGGGCTATTTGTCTTAATTCTAAATTGTCCCTGGTCAAGCAATAAGAGATCATGATATGTGATTTCTGTGGCTGCTCACATGTCCCAAATAGGTTGCCAAAGAAGAGATTTAAAGTTATCTTTTATCTTTCTGCATTTAAGATAGCAGGATCTGCAATGTAATCAGAAATCACAGCTATAATTTGAAGTTTTCTTCTGAAAATAAAATTGTAATGTCTTTGTGATTTACTGCTTCCCCTCCTCTGATTACTGAATTAGAGAAATCACTTCAACATAGATGTGGCTTTTAGCAACCCTTGACAAATATTTTTGTGCTGTCTTCTGAAAATAACATTACTTTGGGAGTAGATTTCACTAGTTTAAATGCATTTGAATTGGTATTATATCTCCTTATGATTCCTGCTCCCCCTTGATGAGAGTACATAGCAGTTTCCCTCTAAGGACCTCATCACACTAGAGAATTAATCCACTTAAAATCTGGTTGCTGCCTCCTGCAGAATTCTTGGGTTTTTAGTTTAAGGAGGAGCTTTTAACAACCTCACTAAACTATACAAACCCCAGAATTTTGCAGGAGGCAAAAACCGGATTTAAAGTGGATTCATTCTCTAGTGTGATGAAATTTCGATGGCTTTTTGTTTTGTTTATTGACTACTTGCTTTGTTATCTGTCTTCTTTACTGGAAGCTATGCAACTTGATGTTGGGGTGGATAGGTAGTGTAATTTGCTTCCGCTGTGTTTTTCCTGCTTAAGTCAGTGACACACATTCTGATAAAATGATTTCAAGTATGCCTTTTGGATGCATACTTAACCTAAAATTCATGTATTCCCCAACTTTAATTTTTTTAATTTTTTTTAATGAAAAGTGGAAAAAAACCTGTCTTTCCATTTTGGAAATGTTATTGTACTATTTCCAAAATGGAAATACTGCACTGTTTTTTATGCACTTATCACAATAAAAATGTTCAAAATTTCAGAATTCCGTATTTTGGAAACATTTCCAAAATGCCTCAAGGACCCACTGTTTCTATTGGGTGTTATGCCTATTTTGGAGTTGGGTGAAGAACAGGCCTATTTTGGCAATCCAGAGGATGTTCCCTGGTATCTGGCATGCTTAGTGCTGTTTTTGGATCATAATAATAACTTCAACATCTGAGATGAAATATTAGCTCTTTTCAGGTTAATTTGAACATCTGTATGAAATCTTAAAGAATACACTGTGATCAGCATTATCAGTCTTCATTATACTTGCTGAAATACACCTTTTTTTGCATGCAGAACTTGAATGTACGGGTATTTGATTTCATAACAATATTTTATCTCTTAACCTTTGTCTAATTCAGTGTTTTGTAGCTAACTCATTTTGCATGACTCTTTAAGATCCTGTCTTAACAAGTTAATAGAAATTAAGCAATTTCCAGAACTGATGCTTTAAAGAAAAATGTTCTTTTAGCAGATGAATTGCAGGGTGCACAATCAGAAACTGAGACTAAACAAGAAATTCAACAGCTGCACAAGGAACTGGTTGAAGCCCAAGAGCTAGCTAGGACAAGTAAACAAAAATGCTCTGAACTGCAAGGTGAGATTAAGATTCATTTGAATCTGCAGAATATCCCAGAAAATGTATGTCCAAGTTCATCAGTGATAGAAACAGATGCTTTCATCTCCATAGTAAATTTTTATGATCTGTTTTTAGTGAAGGGGAAAAAGTGTAACACTGCAGTCCTTTGTTGGCTTACTTAGAAGTTAGTCCTAGTTACTCTGGTTCTCTTCAGATCATATAAATCTTTGCCCTAGTGAACTTTGTGGGACTTAATTCTAAGTAAACATGCATAGGATTGCACTGTAATTTAAGTTTAAAAGCATTTATCATGCAAGCAGTAGAAACAGCATAAGACACTTTTCTTATGATCAGATTTATGATGTTCCATAGTATAAGGATATCATGGAGGCACAGAAAAGAAGTTCTAATTTTCAGCAAACTTAAAAAAACTATTAACTACTAGCAAAATAATTCAGTCATTTAAATATGTTAATTTATTTCTCTTAGCTTTGTTAATAACCCACTAAACTTGGAATAACTTGTCTAAAAACTAATGTCTAATGTAAAAATACCTAACAGTAAAAATAACAAATGAAAATGCTAAGATAATTTCATTTTATTTATAGCTCTTTTAGAAGAAGAAAGAAAGGCTTACAAGTTGCAAGCTGAAGAGTCCACCAAGCAAATTCAAGTTCTCCAAGGTAAAAAAAAAAAAAATCTAAAATACATACACACAAAAAGACTATGGGGTTGAGGCCACTGAAGAGGTCAGGGATTGGAGACATTGTTTTGAAAACAGAACAAAGCTTCTCTTGAAGAATGACTGAACAAATGTATGTATAGGAATGGTTGCAAAAAAAAAGAGTACCTACTGATTTGTGGTATTGATACCTTTCTATTAGTAATAAGACACACAATTAAGACATCTGTAGATTGGCATATTATCACATTTCCTTGTGTCCTGATTTAAAAAATGTCAGCAAATATCACTCTTACCCCTTTATTGTTCTCAACAGCTATTGTTATTTATAATAGTATTGAAGGCTCCTTTTCCCAGGACTTCAAGTAGGCAAGCAGTGACATTTCTTTGACACCTGCCAAAACTGTATGATTCTGTGATCACAAGAATATTCAGTTTGTCAATCAATATGAAAAATCTCAGCACCATGAAGATGTAATCATAGGAGTCTTGTCAGAAACGTGTGTTTGAGCAAAATAATAATTTACCCGACTTGAAAGAATGCTAATTTAGTTATGGGAGAATAAATGGAAATACATTGCACCTTATTTCCCTATATGGATCTTTTCCCCTTTTCTTTTAATTAAGTCTTTTATAAAGTGATTGCTTTATAAAATCTGATTTCTTACACATTTTCACAGCTCAGCTTCTTCGGCTACAAGAAGACATTGAACGTGTTCGTAAGGAAAAGGAGAACGAGATCTCCAGTACACGGAATGAGTTGCTTAGTGCTCAGAGTAAGATCCTGTTACTGCAGGAAGTGGCTGAAAAGGCTGCGTCAGAAAGGGAAGTAGATGTCACCTCTTTACAAGAAGAGCTTACAAAAGTAAGAGCGGAGCTCGAAAGGTGGCGCAAAGAGGCTTCTGAATATGAAAAAGAGATTGTGAGTCTCCAAGCCAGTTTTCAGTTACGATGTCAGCAGTGCGAGGAGCAGAAGAAAGAGGAAGCCACCCGTTTACAAGGTATAGCAATGGTGCCTCATAATTAATGAAATGTACTTTTCAGAACTAAATAGTCAGATGACATTATCTTCATTTATATCTTTAGTGTAAATCAAGAAGGAGGCAAGATGGCATTCTCAGATAAGCTAAAGGAACAATCCATCATGAGTGGTTTGGTCATTTGTGCCAAATTCTTAGAAGCAGTGATCATCAAAATTCTAATCCATTGTCTCCAAATACTCTCTCCCCTTGGCTTTAAAATTCCTGCCTTGCCAACTGATCAAGTGATTTTCTTTCTCTCTCCTTTCTTTAATTAATTATATTTCAAATTAATTATAGCTCTCAAATTATGGTTTAAGATAATACTTAGAAATTGCTACTGATTTATTCAACAAGAAAAAAAAGGAAGCAGACAAATTCTAGGAAGATTCCTGCTTACATCCTGAGAAGAGAAGGGCACAATTGGAACCTGATTTAATTTCTTTTAAGTCCCTCCAAGACTGGGTTAGCAGATTGCGGAAAGTGAGCAGCACAATGTGGGCGATATTAAAAATTAATTGCCAAATGAGCAAAATGTCTCCAATTCAGGATGGAGTTGCTATTAAGGAAGATTTCAATTGGTGTAAGTGAAACTGAGAACCAGTTTCTGCAGAAGTGGGTAGTGCGAGAGTGATAATGTGAAGAAAAATAAAAACAACTCTACATTTAAAAATAAAACCACATCTTATAAATACAGTCAGAGTGGCAAAGGGTCTTGGCATCTAAAAAGCATGGATTTGAAATTTGGAAGCCATTTTGAAAATTCATATTCCATGCCGGGAGGAGCGGGGTGAACTCCCGCTGTTAGGCCCGGCTTCCTCCAACTTAGCAGTTTGAAAACATGAAAATGTGAGTAGATCAATAGGTACTGCTTCTGCAGGAAGGTAACGGCGCTCCATGTAATCATGCTGGCCGCAATGACCTTGGAGGTATCTATAGACAATGCTGGCTCTTTGGCTTAGAAATGGAGATGAGCACCACCCCCCAGAGTCAAACACGACTAGACTTAATGTAAAGGGGAAAGCTTTACCTTTGTTGCAACTCAGGGTAGGCTTCACCTTGCTCCCAAAACACCACCACGCCAGAGCTGTAGATTTTGTAGTTTATTGAAGAAAAACAAAGTCAAAACATAGAGTAAGCAATGCAAAGTTGCAAAGACAAAGGTTAAATGCAAAAACACAATTCTCAAGATCCAAAGGCAAAAACAAGAAGCATAATCCTGTAGGCAATGATCAAACAGGAGTCCACGGTAAAACAATGAAACAAGATCCAAAATCCCAGATTCAGGAAGCCAAAAGCGTGCTGATTAAAGCCGAGGTTAATCCATAGAAGCTTGCATGAAAAGAGCCACGTTGAACTGACAATTTCTCTTTGTCAGTTAGAGACCTAAATACCCTTAGCAACCATGAAGGCATTGCGCTGACCTTTGACAGACTTGGCTTCTTTCTTACTAACTAAGCGAGAACTTCTCCTGACCCCCCAATCTAAGCGTTCTTGCCTGCTCATTAATTCACTATCTTCAGTGCTCTTCTTATCAGTTTGGTCCAGTTGGACCAAATTACCATGGGAAGGCTGAGCAGGCAAAGACAACTCCACCTGGGCGTTATATAGCTCACTGGCATTCTTTTCCCTTGAGAACTGACTTGTTGTCTCTCCTGCTGCATTGTCTGAGACAGGCACAGACACAGGCCCAGAAATCTGAATCCCATCATCCTCTTCGAACTCTCGCTCACAAGACCCACAGGGTTCAGGTTCAGACTCAGAATCAAAATCAAACTGAGCCACAACAACCTTTTACTTATGCCGAGAGGCAGGCAGCTCTGAAGAAAGGAAGAAGGGACATTAATTTATGACATAGAAGTAATTTTACTAATATGAATAATTAAAGCGATCTGATTAATCTCATTTCTCATTTTGATTCATTAAGTTCATTGTTAAATGAAAATGTAAATAGGTTAGAAATCAGTTCATTCAATGAGAATAGTAAAATGCAATTGAGTTTGCAGGTGCAGGAACAAAGAATGACTTCAAAGGAGGAGAGAAAGGAAGACACGCAGTTAATCCATCTAATAAATCTCTGAAGTACAGAAGAAAGATAAAGCATATAGTTATTGTGCAATTAATAGGGAGGTTTCTGACAGCAACTTGGATCTGTTAAAATTTGAATCAGTTTCTGGAGATAGTGTAAAGGAGCTGGAAAGTGACACTTATCAGGATTTTAATGAGACAGATGAGGTAATAGAACTTGGTTATTTTAGGTTGAGGATTTCAAGGGTTTGTTAAGGTTTAAGTACAAATTCAAGTCAAGATAGCCTTCAAGACAGAAAAAGGAGTCGGAGAGCCCAGTATTGACTTTCAGGTAATACTAGAGGGAGTCGGGAGACTTCTTGGTCATCTTTGGCATATTGGGTAATTCCACTTGTCAGGAACAAGGGACAATAGCACTGCTGCCTTCATGTCCTACCAAGGCAGGCATGTAGCCGGGGGGGGGGGGGGGGGGGGGTTCAGCCCCACCCCGAAATTCTCATGGTGGTTCGCGAAAAGGCCTTACTGGTGCATTATTTAAACTGTTATGTTTATTCATATCATATCTGATCACCATACTCAATATATCCCATATGCATGGGGGTATTGGGGTAACGATACAAAAGGTTTGCTAGGGTAGACCCTCTTTCACTCAGACTCAGCCCCCCCCCCGAAACAAACTCAGCCCCCCTCCCCCCCAAATCGAAATCCTGGCTACGGGCCTGTACCAAGGTATTTCCTATCAGCTGACCATTCTGTGTAGATATTTTCACCTCTAGCACTGCATATTAAGTTATGCATGTCGACTTAAACACTCCTTTTTCTACTAGCTGCCCATGTGGTGCATGAAAAAACATGTAATGTTAACTCAAGCTATAGTAGAAGGCTGCAACAAAGCATTCTTAATTTAACTGTTCATATAATCTGTGAAGTACTTTGATTCTGAATTGTTGGTTAAGATAAACCACCAGAAAAACTGAGATAGGTGTATTTATTTATTGTATCAGGAACAAACCAATGGTACAGTTGTAATGTATTTAAAAAGCAAACAAAAAACCCACAAAGTTTGAAAACTTGGCATTATATTAAATGTCCTTTGATCAGTAGCTGACCTCTCGGGGTGCCTCTGGTGTTGCTATAAGAAGGTCCTCCATTGTACATATGTCAGGGCTCAGACTGCATTGTAATAGGTGGTCTGTGGTTTGCTATTCTCCACACTTGCATGTCATGAACTCCACTTTGTGGCCCAATTTCTTAAGGTTGGCTCTGCATCTCATGGTGCCAGAGTGCAGTCTGTTCAGTGCCTTCCAAGTCGCCCAGTCTTCTGTGTGCCCAGAAGGGAGTCTTTCATTTGGTATCAGCCATGGATTGAGATTCCAGGTTTTAGCCTGCCACTTTTGGACTCTCTCTTGCTAAGGTGTTCCTGCAAGTGAACACTATTTCTTGATTTAAGGCATAGTGAGATTGGTAATACTGTTCTAGAGCTCTTGATATAACATTCTGTTTGTGCTCATTAGTTGTAAGAGTCTTTCCAAGAATTGTAGCCACACTCAAGCGTTCTTAAAATTCAATCATTGCAAATTAAATTGATTTGTGTTTTTTTAAATAGTATTTGAGCTTCCAATACTTTGGCTCCTGTGTACATTTTATCTATATTAAATCAATTGCAATTGTTTCTTGTAGTTTATTTCATAGGAATTATGCCATAAGTGCATTGAAGACTGATGCTTGAGGTCTGAATACTGTTTGAAAATATTAGTTTTATAATGGGCTGCCTTATGTCATTAAGCTCATACTTTAAATGTGTGTTTCTTTCTATTATAGTATTGATGAAACCCTAAAGATATCAACTTGTATGTGTACTTAAGGATACAAGTTCTTACTAATAGTTTATTTTTCCTATTTTGGTTATGCTCTTACATTGATTCATAACCTTTTCCACTTCAGATTGGTTTGAAGAGTGGGATTATGATTTATCATGTCCTTTTATCAGATGTATAAACTTTTCATTGTTAATTCCTATGTAAATGTTTTCACTTGGAAAATTTGTTCAGCACATAATAGTGCTATTTCTTCTTTGGTAACATGCATGAGGTAATGATACTGATTACTCATTCAGTCTTTTAAAAACTACAAAATACACATAACTGGAGACCTTTGAAGATATTCTTTGTCAGTTTTAATAGATAACGTAGCATTATTTGCTTGTAGGTGAACTTGAAAAGCTGAAAAAGGAGTGGACTGTTCTTGAAACTGAGTGTCTTTCATTAAAAAAGGAGAATTCTTTGCTTGCGGATGAACTTCAGCGACAGGAGAAGGAGCTGCATAAGTAAGTGCTTCTAAGTCTAATGGGAGAAGTCAACAAGATTTGACTGGGTGAAACAGAGTCTTACACTATCTATTAAATGCTATATTGGGGGCAGAGGGAGCTTCCACAGAAATGTTTTGTTTTATTTTTAGGAAAAAGTCTATCCTTGCAAATCTTTTGCTGTCTTCTCTCTCCCATACCCTTTTACATGCAAACATTTACATGCCTGCTACAGTAGATCCTTTTTCTTTAATGACAGTGACAGTTGTAATGGCTAAAAAAAGAAATCTTTCAGTTCTGGAAACTGGCCATCCCTCTACGAAAAGAACAGAGAAACAAACAAAAAGCATTTATCTAGGCCGTATGTGATTACATAAACTGCTGTTAAAAAAACTCAACCTTTATGTTTACTAGAGAAATTCAGGTAAAATATGGATGTCAATATTAGGAATTCAAAATCTGAATTAGAGATGTTAGTAGAGTTAGCCGGATTCAGAGACAAATATTAACTTGGTCATTTCTTTAGGATTGTGAATAAGAGATGGGAATTAGGAATAAAGTTATCAAGATATATATATATATATATATATATATATATATATATATATATATGTGTGTGTGTGTGTGTGTGTGTGTGTGTGTGTGTGTGTGTGTGTAATATATAATACTAATATTGTGTTATAGTAATAATATATTGTATTTACATATTACTTGTAAGCTGCGCTGAATCCCCTTCTATGCCGCTGTGAGTCCCTTCTATGCTGCCCCTTATATGCTGCTCTGAGAAGGGAAGCATATAAATGTTGTAAATAAATAAATAAGAAAGCAGGAATTGCAAAGGCATCTAGAAGACCTGGAGGTTTGATAGCATGATGGTGGGGTAGGGGGAGGTCTTCAGATTAGCTGGAGGAGGTGGGAATAAGGAGGAGCCCAAACAGTGATCTCTGCATTCTGCACATATCATGACATTTAGGGGTTTTTATCAGGTTGCCATGTGCTCTGTCAGACCTACGTCATGAATCTTCTTTTTGCCTTTGCCAGCATTTCAGGGCTGAGGGAATGGCTAGAAGGGACAGTTGCTCATAGGCATCAGAAAGTGCTGGAACGTTAAAAGGTAGAAGTTGGGGGGAGGCCAATATTTCCTAACTTAAACAAAACGAAATATTACGTTAAAATTACCTATTTAGCGATAGAATTTGAAGATATGTTTTAAGTTTACTTCAGAAAAAGTAATCATTCATTCAGACATCTGCCCTTGCACTATGCTACTCTACTGCTGAGTACGCATGCCCAGTATGGAACACATCTCACCACACTAAAACAGTAGATGTGGCTCTTAATGAGACATGCTGCATTATCACGGGGTGTCTGCGCCCTACACCACTGGAGAAATTACACTGCTTAGCCGGTATTGCACCACCTGACATCTGCCGGGAAGTAGCAGCCAATAGTGAAAGGACCAAGGCAGAGACATCTCCAGCTCATCCCCTGTTTGGGTATCAGCTAGCACGTCAACGACTTAAATCTAGAAATAGTTTTCTAAGATCTACAGAGACACTCGCTGGAACACTTCAGCAAGCGAGAGTTCAAAAGTGGCAGGCTCAAACCCAGAACCTCAACCAATGGCTGATACTAAATGAGGGACTCCCCCCTGGGCACACAGAAGACTGGGCGAATTGGAAGGCGCTGAACAGATTGCGCTCTGGCACCACGAGATGCAGAGCCAACCTCAAGAAATGGGGCTACAAAGTGGAATCCACGACATGCAAGTGTGGAGAAGAGCAAACCACTGACCACCTGCTGCAATGCACCCTGAGCCCTGCCACATGCACAATGGAGGACCTTCTTGCAGCAACACCAGAGGCACTCCAAGTGGCCAGATACTGGTCAAAGGACATTTAATCAACTACCAAACTTGCAAATTTTGTGTTTTGTCTGTTTGTTTGTTTGTTTGTTTTGTTCTGTTAGAAAAGTAATACAATTGACTGGTTGCCCTGACACGACAAATAAAATAAATCATTCATGCTACTCAAATACATTAGCATATCAAATGCAAATAATGCCGAGGTCAATAGCTATTAATATTTTCCATATGACTATCTTTTTTAATATAACTTAAAGGTTATATGAATCTTGCGTACATTTCAAAGAATTGCCTGTCTGGCCCTTTATTGCTATAAGGGCATTAGACTCAGTAGCTGCTACAGAAAATCAGAACTGGAATACCAGAAGTTACTTCATACTGGATCATATTATTGGTGCCTCTTTCTCACAACTGTCTGCAGTGATTGACCATCACTCTTCAAGGTTTCATACATTGTTTTTCCCTAACCTTTATTGAGATGCCAAGAACTGAACTTGTGCCATTTTGCATAGGTTGAGATGGTGAACAAAAGCAGATTAATGTATCACATAACATCAGTTAAAAACATACGAACCAGTTAAAACACATAACATCAGTCCTCAAACTAAGGCCCGGAGGCCGGATACGGCCCTCCAAGGTCATTTACCCAGCCCTCGCTCAGGGTCAACCTACGTCTGAAACTACTTGAAAGCAGACAACAACAACAACAATCCTATCCCAACAATCCAACAATCCCAAAAGCAGGCCCACACCTCCCACTAAAATACTAATAAGTTTATATTTGTTTAAATTGTTCTCCATTTTAATTATTGTATTGTTTTTAACTGTTTTTTTGCACAACAAATAAGATATGTGCAGTGTGCATAGGAATTTATTCATTTTTTTTTTCAAATTATAATCCGGCCCTCCAACAGTTTGAGGGACTGTGACCTGGCCCTCTGTTTTAAAAGTTTGAGGACCCCTGGTTTACATGAACATATAAGACAAATACGTATTAAAACAATCAGTCAATAATTTATTTATTTATTTAGCAGTTTTGTATACCGGTCTTCTCACCTCCGTTCGAGGGACTCAGGCCGGTTTCCAACATCAATATTACAGACAGTCATTAAAACATCATATTCTAAATCACATTTAACATTCATTATTTAAAATCCATAATTTAAAAATTATCTAGCTAGCTAGTCCTGCTGAAAGAGATGATGTTTTAATTTCAGGCAGCATATTTTGTTGGCAAGCCTCTTCTGACAGGTCGTTCCACAGTCAAAGTGTGGTTGAAGAAAAGTTATCTGGGTAATAGTTGCTAACATAGTCTTGGCTGATTGAAGTAAATGCCCTCAGAGGACTTCAGTGTATGAAGCAGATTATATGGGAAGAGTCAATTCCATATGTAACCTAGACTCGCATATATAGGCCTTTGAAAGTAATAACCAAAGTTTGTACTTCGTTCATTTTAGTTGGATAATCTTTGAATTATTACAATGACTTGATACGCTGTCTCATTTTACTGTGGGAAGTTTGCTCATAGAATATACAGGCAGTCCCCAAGTTACAAGCAAGATAGATTCTGTAGGTTTGTCCTTGAGTTGAATTTGTATGTAAGTCGGAACAGGTACATTTTTTAAGTGTATTCACAACCAAAAATATATATTTGTTAGCTTTTGATAGCATAGGGAAGGTTGTTTGTTTTGCTGTCTGTGCCCCTGTTCAAATTTCACCTCATCTTCTGTCCCTGCAATAATATAATTGGATTTTGAATAAGTTGGCTTGATTGAAGATTGATGATAAAGCTTCAGTGGAGACACCTTTTCCCCATGATAACTCTTTCAGGAGTAACTTTACCTTCTGACAGACCAATCTCCCTCACTTCCTGTTGCCTGAGCTTAGTTCTTAACTATGAGTCATTTGTAAGTGGAATGTTTGTAGCTTGAGGACTGCCTGTATATTGTTATAACAAGTGTTGTAGCCTATTCTAACTTTGTCACAAGCATAATCCTTCCACAGAATATTGCTTTTTCCTTTGTATAAAGTATACCAATGTATCAATACTCTATTTCATCTAGGGACTGTTATGGATTCCTAGTACTTTACAGAGGTTATAAAACATACAAAATTAGCATTCTAACTTACCAGTAAATTGAAACTATAGATATTTAGTCCTCCCATCCGCTAGCCCTGTGCCTCACTGTACCGTTCTCTCCTTATGCTCCCTCATACTCCCTGAATGCTCCTACCTCTTCCTCCAGACTCTCTTCCCTTTTCATTTCTTATATGATTTTTTCTTTTAAATAATATTTTGTGTTTTATCCTTTTAATACACCTTTGTATTTTAGCTTTTAGCCTAGACTATAATGATTTTAATGTATAATGCTTCTATGAAACTATACCCTTCTCTCCTTATGCTGGTCTATGACCGTAATAAAGATTGTTTAGCATATTAAACATAGTTTTGAGGATGGAAAATTGTTAAATGCTGATTGAATAAATAAATTAAAAGTATTTCTTTCTACTCATGCAATTCCTTTGAGATTTTCTCTTTTCTATCTTTTCCAGCTCTCAGCAACATAGTCTGGCACTTACCAGTGACTTGAGTATTCTTGAACTGACCCGAAAGGAGCTTGAAAATAAAATGGGTTCTTTGAAAGAAGAACATCAGCGAGATGCCACTAGTTTAAAAACTCTTCTTCATGAGGCAGAAAACCAAGCCAAGGATGTTCAAAATGAGGTTGACTTCAAACAGATTTCACCTATATGGATGTTTATAGTAATAATAATACAACTTTATTTGTATTCTGCCCTATCTCCCCAGGGGGACAGGGAAGATTCCAACATACAGTGGCAAACATTCAATGCCTCTATAAAACAAACAAATACTGACGTAAAATAAAAAAAAACCCACATATGAAAACAATATAAAACCTAACATCAAATTAAACCTAACATCAATAAACTGAACAAATGTAGCCAGATATGTATATGTATATATAATGTCATAAAATCTGAATAATCATAGTAATAGTAATAATTTTGTTTTCCTAAATTGTGGTAATCCAATAAGGATTCACACTCCTTATCCAGTCAGCTCATTGCCTGGGTATAATACTGAACCGTTGTTTAGTTTTATAAAACATGCCCAGGCCTCTTCACTCTCCCATCCTATTCTAGCCTGCTCATGTGATCATAAACAAAAGTTCAGAAGCTACTGTTTCTGATTTCAATCCTAGTTACTCAATTTTTAAAATGAAATTTGAAGATAGTTAGACTATGTTATGGTTTAGGGAAACAGGTCATGCAGGTAAGCCATACTATGTTTAAGTAAACAGTGATTAAGACTTACTACAGTCTGTCTATATTTTACTTGGATTTAACAAGTAATTGTTGTTAAAATGTAGAACCAGAAGCCTTCAGCCTTTTTGTAATTACCTTGCTAGATAGGAGGACAAGAACAGGAGGAGCACACAATTTCTGAGCCTTATGCACACCATTTTGAACCATAGTTTAACACTGCAAATGAGCAATGCCAGTGTACTTCTTTCAGAATAAAAAATAAAGCAGTAGTGTGTCACAGCTATTATAAAAGAGGAGGTCTAAAGTCCAGGGATGGGTGTCTAAAAGTCCGATTAAACATATATGAAGGGGATTGTTGTGTTATGTCTCAAACATGCTTTTATACCTATTGAAATATTGTCCAGTACTTTTAAAACTGAGTATTGTTTATTCGCTGTAAAACCTGATTATGAACTTGTCTATATTTCTTTGTTGACTTCCTTCTTAAGTAGGTGAAATATGAATATGCATCTCTGAAAAATTCATCTGTAAGACTCAATTCCCACATTTACCCCATAAGATAGAATCATAGAGTTGGAAAATAACAATATGAGATAAATCTTATTCAACACTTCTAGCAAATCAGTATCTCTATGTAGGGGAATACACCTACATTTGCTTTCATCTTGACTTTTGTGTCTAATAAACACAACATTGCCCAGCTGCAAATAGACATCATATTTCTAAATAAATACATTTTTAACTGTGGCCACAAATTTCCATTTTAAAACCCAGTCTGAGAAATACATTGAGAAGCTTAGGAACACAGTCATAAGATGCTATAACTACATATCTACTCTAAATAGGTCTATAGATTTTTTTTCTTTGCTTTTAGTATGAAAAGACACAGACCATACTCTCAGAACTGAAGTTGAAGTTTGAAATCACTGAGCAGGAAAAGCAATCAATCACAGATGAACTCAAACAGTGTAAAGAAAACCTGAAGCTGCTACAAGAAAAAGGAAACCATGTAAGTTGGTGTAAAATGTGTGCAAGATTCTGGTAATTTCATTTTTGTTTTGTGAGCCTATATATTAGACCAGCTAAAGATTTGGATGTTTATTTGTGTGTTTGTTTTGCAAAGTTAGGCACCATAGTATTATCAGGTGATTTCTGGTTACAGATGGAAAAATTTAGCGAAGGCTTTGAGGATGGCTTTCTCCTTCATTGGTTTTTGCCCTTACAGACCTCTGATTTTTTTCCCCTGGTGATGAAAAGAGACACATCTCAGTTATACTCAGCTAACATTTCTTTGCAGATAAAACTATTCTGATGTTTGCAAATCTCACCTCTTTCGAAACAGGGTCTAAAGAGCACATTGATTTCTTTGCTGAACCTGACTTGGGAGAACCTCACCAGTATTTCTCCTCTTGCGCTTCTGTATCCCTGTAAAGGCCAAGAATGTGGCCAGTGAATGTGTACAATTTATTATATACAGTTACTCAAAATTTTGCTTCACAGGATGTTATAATATGTAAGCAAAAAACAAACACCATGACATAAAAAAGAAATGTATTCAGTGTTGATTCTTGGACAGCAGTTTAACTTTCTAGGAAGAATGAGTGACTGCTTTATATCAGGGAAAGTAGAGCTGGGTCTACTAGACTCCTCCCCAGTATCTAGAATGATCTCCTTGCAATTTAAAGTTATTCAGGGAGGATTCAGTCAATAGTAAGAGCTTTATTCCCCAAGGATGCATGAAATGGGTGATTTAATATAGTCCTCTTATGGCTGTATTCTGGTGTAGGTCTGTGTACGTACTTGGGAACAGGGATGTACTTCACATCCCTGTAAGCTTGCGGTTTCAGCGTTTCTTTAGAAATGCTTCTTGATTGCTTTTGCACTAAATTAACTCTAATTGCTATTTGAAAAATACAATGAACAGGTATAGAACAGGCATGGACAAACTTTTTTTGCCCTGGGGTCGCCTTGTGGATCTGGCTGCAAGGGCTGAGCCTGCCAGAAGAGGCAGGGTTGTGGGTCAGAAGGGGTGGGGGCGGGGCCAAAAGGACCGGGGTTAGGGTGGAAGGGCGTAGCTGAGGCCTTGGAGGGGCTGGGGCCAGGAGAGGGAAATGGCAGGTCTGTCTTCAAGGAGACAAACATGCTGCTGCTACTTCGCAATAGCATGTTTCTCTCCCCAGCTCTTCCGGGCCCCAGGAAGGCAGTGGCCCGCCTTCCTTGAGCCCGGAGAAGAGAGATAAACACACAGCTGTTCAGCACGCTTGGCAGTGGCGTGTTTATCTCCCCGGCTTTTCTCTGGACCTCGGGAAGGCAGTGGCCCACCTTCCTTGGGCCCAGAGGAGGGAGATAAACACGCTTGTTGTTCATTCGTTCAGTCGTCTCCGACTCTTCGTGACCTCATGGACCAGCCCACGCCAGAGCTCCCTGTCGGCCGTTACCACCCCCAGCTCCCTCACGGTCAGTCCAGTCACTTCAAGGATGCCATCCATCCATCTTGCCCTTGGTCGGCCCCTCTTCCTTTTGCCTTCGACTTTCCCCAGCATAATTGTCTTCTCTAGGCTTTCCTGTCTCCTCATGATGTGGCCAAAGTACTTCAACTTTGTCTCTAGTATCTTTCCCTCCAGTGAGCAGTCGGGCTTTATTTCCTGGAGGATGGACTGGTTGGATCTTCTCGCAGTCCAAGGCACTCTCAGAACTTTCCTCCAACACCACAGCGCAAAAGCATCGATCTTCCTTCGCTCAGCCTTCCCTAAGGTCCAGCTCTCACATCCGTAGGTTACTACAGGGAATACCATGGCTTTGACTAGGCGGATCTTTGTTGCCAGTCTGATGTCTCTACTCTTTACTATTTTATCGAGATTGGACATTGCTCTCCTCCCAAGAAGTAAGCGTCTTCTGATTTCCTGGCTACAGTCTGCATCTGCAGTAATCTTTGCACCTAGAAATACAAAGTCTGTCACGGCCTCCACGGTTTCTCCCTCTATTTCCCAGTTGTCAATCATTCTTGTTGCCATAATCTTGGTTTTTTTGTTTAGCTGCAACCCGGCTTTTGCGCTTTCTTCTTTCACCTTGATTAGAAGGCTCCTCAGCTCCTCCTCGCTTTCGGCCATCAGAGTGGTGTCATCTGCATATCTGAGGTTGTTAATGTTTCTTCCAGCAATTTTCACCCCAGCTTTGCATTCATCCGGCCCCGCACATCGCATGATGTGTTCTGCATACAAGTTAAAAAGGTTGGGTGAGAGGATGCAGCCTTGCCGTACGCCTTTCCCAATCTTAAACCAGTCTGTTGTTCCGTGGTCAGTTCTTACTGTTGCTACTTGGTCCTTGTACAGATTCCTCAGGAGAGAGACAAGGTGGCTTGGGATGCCCATCCCACTAAGAACTTGCCACAATTTATTATGATCCACACAGTCAAAGGCTTTAGAATAGTCAATGAAGCAGAAGTAGATGTTTTTCTGAAACTCCCTGCCTTTCTCCATTATCCAGCGGATATTGGCAATTTGGTCTCTCGTTCCTCTACCTTTTCTAAACCCAGCTTGAACATCTGGCAACTCTCGCTCCATGTTTTGCTGGAGTCTTCCTTGCAGGATCTTGAGCATTACCTTACTGGCATGAGAAATAAGGGCCACTGTACGGAAGTTTGAGCAGTCTTTCGCATTTCCCTTTTTTGGTATGGGGATATAAGTGGATTTTTTCCAGTCTGATGGCCATTCTTGTGTTTTCCATATTTGCTGGCAAATGGCATGCATCACCTTGACAGCATCATCTTTTAAGATTTTAAACAGTTCAGCTGGGATCCCGTCGTCTCCTGCTGCCTTGTTGTTAGCAATGCTTCTTAAGGCCCATTCAACCTCACTCCTCAGGATGTCTGGTTCTAATTCATTCACCACACCGCTACTGTCAAATATTCTGATAAACACGCTACTGTCAAATATTCTTGGCAGTGGCATGTTTACATCCCTGGCTCTTTTCTGGGTCCCGGGAAGGCAGCAGCCTGCCTTCTCCTGGGCTTAGAGGGGGACAAGTACACCGCTGCCAAGTGCTCTCCAGAGAGCGCTTCGCAGAGGCATGTCTCTGCCTTGGCCCTCCTCTTAGTCTGGGGATGCGGTGGGCCACTGAGTCTACATATTGAAGGGAAGTCCAAAGCAGCCCAAAGAGCCAGTTTTCTCATGCCTGGTATAGAACAACCATGAATGTCATCATAAATCAATAAAGTACCTTTAAAGTATCAATAACCAAAATTAATTTCAGCATGGACTCTCATCTGCTGCCTTTTTCTCTTGGATCCCATTTCAGTATAGGAAGTGATTGTTATACCTGTGACTGAAGAAATGTGACACATATTTTGAAATATGGATTGCTATATTATTAAACTTAATTCATGAGGAAGGTTATAGAGAGAGAAAGTGGCTAATTTAAAGAAGCTAAATGTGAGGCATAAAGGAGATTGTTCATCAGCTGAAAAATATTTAGCAATAAGATAATGATTGATAGCAAACTTAGGAGTTTATATCAAAACATGTAGCATTTAGGTTTCTCTACTTGAAAAACCTTGAGCTCAAAAAGACTTCATCTTTGATGTTTTTCTCAATATGCTTCAAGATAGAAATAGATTCAAAAGACCACTTTATTACTATGTGACACTAATTCTTGCATCAAAACTGAGGGGAGGTACAGCTGTACACCTTGCATGTGGTTGAAAGGGTATTTCTTTTGGTAAAAGAAGAGAGGAAATTTATATATGGCATTTGATTTTGATTTGCTTTAAGATCCCGATTATATAATTAATTATTTGGTTGCTTGGAGTAAGGAGAAAAGTAATCTTTGGCTTTTTCCCATCATTTCATTCTTTTGAATATATTTATCCCTCTCATGGAATATTGATTACTAGCACTATTCCATATGTTAGGAATGGTAACAAGAAGTTTCAGTGCATCTTTCATTTTAAACTTTCATGACAAAAACAAAATTTGAATTATATTAAATAACTAGCACATAATACTTGGCATTCCCTGGGTATCAAAGGGTCTGCTATCTGGTTGCCTTCTCCACCTTGCTTCCACACATTTGCATGACCCTCGGAAAAGCCTTTCCTCACAAATGTCTCCATTACAGTGCTCTGGCCCTTTGAGGACTGCATGCATCTTTCATTGGTTTTGGGAGCCTTGCCCCCAAAAGGGGCCAATTTTGTATTTCAGACCCCTCACTTCTTTTAAGTTGGATAATGAAGAGTATGTGTGCCATGTTTGGCCCAGATCCATCAAGCCATGTACAAGTCTTTATGGTACAAAACATACCTACCTACTGTGACTTGTATATATCTAGAATAAAAACTTGTATATAAAATAAATTTGTAGGATTGCTGGCAAAGCTAACCTTATTCTGGTTGAGAATAAGTTTTAGGGGCTAATAATACACACCTCCTCATAAAAAGCCCTACATTCTCCTGAGGCTCAGATAAAAATCAAAATAGATTTGCAGGGTTGGAAAATTGAGTTAAATTATTGGAAGACGAACAGACATAGGATTTGGGGAGTCAGTGTTGGGAAATGACTTTACACCTTCCCAGACCTATCCAAAATAAGGGCTTGCCACTACAAAGTTGTAATCCAGTGACCAGTTCCTAGAGATAACAATATGCATAAGGAACATTTAACACATACTCCTGAGTTCACAGAAGACATGTTTTTATCCATCCTGTGCTGACTTCCACCTCTGCTACTTCATGATGAAATCCATCATATTCAAATCATTTGTTACATACTCATTTCAGCCTGTGTACATGGTATATAATGCACAGTTGAAAAAATGTGGAAGCAGCTCAAAAAGACACTTTAGTGTCCCACTGATTTTTTAAAAAATAAGCTCATTTGCATTGACTCTATAGGGAGAAATAAGATTTTTTTTCCTAAAAATAATCCTAAGTGTCAAAATGTTCTACTACACAGAAAACTAGTGTGTTTGGAATCACAATTCTTGATAAAGAGTCTTCAAAATGTAAATTTGAAT